CGACATGGTTGCTCTGTATCCCTGCTTTCTAGTTCCGAGTCTTCAGGAGATATTCTGGGGATTCCTTCCGATCAATATCTTTTTTTGGCATTTGATGAAGTTGGTGTTTTTGATACGAATGGAATTTTTTTTGAACTGGAGAAGAATGACAAAGGTGTGATTCGACCTTACAATGACTTTTTCGGTATCATTAGTCAATTGTGCAAAGAACCCGACTTGTTTTTTATAGTTGTTGGGAAAAGCAAGGGTTTAAGTATTAAGAATGATGTCTCTTCTGTATCAAAAGTCATACTACATTTTATTTTTTTATCACCTTTGGACGCTTCCAGTATTGTTGAATTCCTTGAAAAGACTCTTCTTGAAACACCTACTCAAGAACCGGTTTGTGATGTCTTATGTAGTTCTTCATTTTCAGTAAATGAATTGGCAGATTCGTTGTTGGAATGTACAGGTGGAGTTCCTGGTTTGTTGACTCGTGCTGTGAATATGCTTTTGAATTATATAATACCAAGAAACCAGCCTTTCATATCGAAAGAAGAATGTTTGACTTGTATGAATGACTATGATTTCCGAATAATTTGTGCTGAACCATTTGTGGAACGAATATTGATTTTGGACGAAGATAGAAAAAGTGTTTTTGATTTACTTTTGATGATGGCTCTTTATCGTATACCGTCTAAAGTAGATGATAGATTGACCTCGGAGTCCTTTTTATATGATGCCGTAACAGAAATGGGACTATATCGATATCCTATTGACCAGAATACTTTTCAAGTCCTAATTCCAAAAGTATTTGTTGGAATCTTCAAGAAGGACCCTTCCGTATCTTCTTTGGAAAAGATACTTCTTGGATCACTTGATGTAGAACCAGTAGATTGTTTCTTCTATTCAAAGTGTCGTGTATTTGAAGGAATTGTTGCTTTACGACTAGTTTTGATGTTGTCTTCAAAGAATCGAAATGAGTTGAGGGAATTGTTGTGTCAATTGTCTCCAATATGGAAACAAATGAAACTTCCAATGAGTACAATATCACCTATTCACTATATGAAGTCTGTTGTTAGTTCTAGAGAAACAAGAAATGAATCGAACAAGAGTCGAAGAACTTTTGCCAGTACTGAATGGAATAAGATTATTCGAGAGACACTTTGTTTAGAGACTATTTACATTCCTTTGGACGCTACTTCTCATAGTCCTGATATTATATTCAAATTACAATCTCCTGTGGAACCCAAAGTTCTTACTGTTGGAGTTGCTTGTAAAGGACGTTGGAAGTCGGAAGGAATTGGCTGGTCAGATATTATAGATGAAGCCAAGAAATTTTTAGATCCTGTTTATGATCAAGTCTTATCCAGTGCAATGGATTATCATCATTGTATGCTTATTATCGTTAGTACAAAGTTATCATTGAATGTTTCTAATGAGTTGGGTAATCAGAGTCGTTGTTATTCCAGTGGAATGTTTATTGGAAATGATTCTTTCAAAGTACCTGATAATTGTGAACTTGTTATTCTTTGTGAAAGAGATGTGGAAATGCTGATTGACGACGAAATTTTGAATGGACTTGAAAGAGCATTTTGTGTTTCTCATAATCCTACTTTTTGGGATTTTGGATTAGATTTACTTGATAGAATCCGTAACAGTTTCTTAAGTTGGCAATAGATTCTAACTCAGTCCTTTTCTTTGTTTTGAAGAGCAAATAAACTATTTTTTGTATGTTTGAAACTTGGTTACATCTTAGTTTTTTGCCTCTTTGGAGACCATACATTCTTTTCCGAAAAGAGTTTATTAGCTGGCTGACAGGGCTGGTTCACAGTAGTTCATTCTTATCTAGCCATTTTACATGGCTATGTAATTGCATAATACATTCTGAATATTATCAATACTAAATATACGACAATTGTATTCAATAAGTTGAGTCATTTTTGGTGTCTATGACAATAGATTGGCTATTTTGAAGCAATTGTAGAAAACTTTGTTGGGAAAGGCTCTCAAGTCATGAAAAAGTCCGTATTGGAGAAACAGAAAACTCTATATGACACCAGAAAGCGCTTTGTCTTTGCTCCAATTGTTTTAGAATCTCACATTCTTTCTTCTCTTCTACGTATGAATGGAATATTTGTTGACATTGAAACGTTTCTGAAATGTTTCGATTTTTCAGCATAGTCTCACAATGGATGACTTCAAAAGGCTGTTGGATCAGTTTTTTACCAAAATAGATCGCTATGGAAGCTTGAGACACGTTGATAATGACTCAATTTGAGCAATGGAAAGTTATACAACAAAAAACTTTTTATTCAAAATAAAATGCAAGGCTTAAACTATGGTATTTTACTTCTCAACTTTGGAAACTGTGAAGGTTCTAAAACAAACCTTCTTCAGCCAGAGACCCGATGTGATTGGGTGAGCACCCAAGTTTCCATAACCAAGCATAAACTTTACCTTTCTGAAAGGTAGAATGAGTCTTCAACTAGATTAGGTTTGATAGAGCCACAAGTTGGCGGACAAAAGGTTGTAGATTGTTGTGCAAACTTCAAAGATGTAATGGTGATGGAACTTGGTTGAATCGATCGAAAGCTGCTTGGTTTTCATATTAACAGAATAAGGAATATTTTAGTAGAATCTTTTGTTTGGAATTGTAAGTTTGTAATACGTTGAATCCTTTAGAGGAGTGGTTATTTGACAAATTGTAAAGGAGACAGAAATGTAGTCAGATTGAAAAGTTTTTGTAAATTCTGCACCATCAATCGTTTTCAAACAGTTATCTGTCGCAATGATTTAGACAAAAGGTATGTTTCTAGTACCTGGAAAATGTTGTTTGGTAGGAACTTTGCTGAGATGTGGAATGCCCTGGCAGATAGTATTGTTGCAAAAGATTACTATCACATATTCAAATAGGTAGTTAGTTATGTATTCTTATCACATTGACATTGTTGCAAGATATTGTATAATTCCTTTGCAGTATGTTGTCCACATAGGAGTGCTTCATTTTGAGTCGTTGGCTCTACACTCAAACGTCCCTGACTTTGAGTCATCCAGAAACTTTCTTGTGACTACTACTCTCTTCAGGGAATGTTAGATTGAGTTTTTACTATGGCTACTCTGGTATATTTTGATATATGCAATATTTGGATAGTTAACAAACACAAAAAGTTATAACCTCAAACTTTGCCATTCATTGACTGGGTCTACACACAAGTGCCAAGGATTATATCGAGTCATTGAGTATTAGAAAACATACAAATAGGGATATAATTTACGGGGTAAAGTTTAGAGTACTGTTAAAGTCAAGGAGCTCATAGAGAGAGTATCTCAAACGGTTGCTGAAAGATTGAAAGTTGCAAAGATCGTCCCTTTCCAGATTCAACCCTATAGTTCTCTTCGAATGAAAGTCAACAGTGAAAAGTTATAAGAGTATTCGTTAATAGCACTGTTAGATCATTTATGTTTCTAGTTTCCAAAAAAAAGAAGAAGAAGCAGAGCAGTCTTTCTACTACAAGAGCTTAAGTTCCATTGTTTCCTAATTTTTTGTTTTAAAATTATCCATTCGAAGAACCCACCACTTGTCATCATAACAAGGTAAATGTCCATCGGCAATCTTACCTAATTATATAGTATTGAAAAGAATGAGACTTTCTGCCGATTTGAACAACGCTATGTGTACGATTGCAATCTTGCTTTAGCAATGTTATCTTTTCTTGCAAGAGTTTGCTAAATGGGAATGTTTTACAATCATCTATAAAAAGAATTGTAAAAGGATTGCTCAGATGTTTCTGCTATGATGAGAAACACTGAAATGTAAACTCCTTTCTGTTATAATAGTTTTTTTTGGGCATAGAGACTTTACTGATTTTTGGTACTCTTATAAGCCGAAAGTTTGTACACTTTTTAAACTTTTTGTTATTTGTCCATTTTTTGGAAATGTCTCTTTAACAGCTAAAATACTCCTATAGTCAGCATCACCTTGCTTTTTCAGTAGATACTTTTATCATTTATGTAAAACGATACAACAAAACGACTGGGTAAGATGACTATTGAAATTTTTCTTTTGGTAGAATTCGTGATAAATGAATTAACGATCATCCATAAGGGAATAGATATGAGACATTGAGACAAACTATATAAATACCTATCTACAAGGTGTATCAAAACAACAATGTCTAGGAAGATCAATCATAGCAAGGAGCAATCTATCTCTGGTCAGAATCTTCTTTAAACGCTTCGTCAACTTATTAACGAGCGTCCTACTTATCTAATAATATGACCCTGTTAAAGGTGCCAATCTATGAAGACAACTATGACAGATGGGCAGAAGTAGTCACTGGATTTCTTCTGCATGCTATTCTGAGAAATGTCTTTTATGTTCCAAATCTGATCACAAACCTACAATTCGTCTCTTTAAAAAGAGTATCTTCCTAAATGAAAACGGACATAACTAAAGTGCCCAAAAATAAAAGGAATAGGATTCGACTAAGAATCTAGTTAAGGTTCTTACAAACTATCTTGAAAATGTGAACCCAAGGGCTGATATCGACAAGAGCCTAAAGGACCAAGATTCTGACTGCAGGTATGCACGAAAAATATTCTAAAACGACATTCAATAAAAATCTGCTGATTTACGAGAGAGATGAAAGGTTCACGACCTTGAGTTGTTTGGAATCCATTGCCTTGGTTATCTCCTCGAAACACAAACAGCGAATTTCCAAGGGATACCAGAGTTTAAACAACGATATTTCTTGAATGGAGTATATAAAGGTAACAGAGGTATTCAATATTGGACAATCCAAAAAGACAATACAAGCCAAGTGGAGCTCAACGTCTCAAAGGAAAAGGTGGGACTGTTACAATAGAAACAATTCAAAGCTTGAAATATGTTCAAAGAGAGGTTTAGATTCCGAAATTTCATTTTTATAACTTTAATCCCTCGATAGGTTTGAAGTGGCTAAAGTGTCATAAACCAACTTAACGATATCCAAAGTAACTGTATAGCCGCCCTGGAAACTCTTGAAAAACATTATCAATTTGTCCAATTTACAATTTGTGTTTAGGTCATTCGTTGTTGAAAGTTTCGAGTTGTATCAGTCTTTGAATAATGCAAACAATATACCGCTTAAAAGAACCACAAATTGACAGGGAAGAGGACGTCAGGACAATTATACAGACGTTTCTTTTTCAGTTCTCGGAGAAGGCGTACGGTGGGCCTTCGTTCAATCGCCCGGCTTGCTGTTTTGCGCCGCATATTTATGGAGCCGGCAAAACATTTGTAGGCCAAAACTTTTTGGCCTATTTGAATATTTTTGCAGAGCGTGAGTGTTCCCAATGCACAGACTTTTCAACAACTACACAGTTCAAACGATAACCCCCAACCGAGTGAGTTGAAAGTGCCTTGGAAACACTTTGCGGAAAACACTTTGTCAGTTATCTTAGAACTAAGAGAGAGCTTTTCTGGTGCTCCTTTTCCAAGTTTTCTAGAGGCTTTGATGTATAACATAGTTTTGGCTGCTTATCGACAAAATGTTGAATTTACGGACGCTCTTCAGATGGCTCAGAGGACGGTAAAGAATTTTGATACTGTAGGAGTTGTTCATTTTCTTCTCGAACAGTTTCAGAAACAATATTTATTTTTGATGATAGACGAACTTAGCCACCTGAGTTACCTCACCAAATACTATAGTGAACTTACCGAGAAACAATTTATCGAGCCCGATGCAGAATATGTACCTTTCCGGAATTTTTTCCGTTTTTTACGTGATTTGTTGATTACAGGGAAGGTAATTGTCTATTTGGCAGGCAGGACATCTCAAATCTCAGCCCGTATGTCTGATGCTCGCTCCAGTAGCATGAGCCTCGATATGTTGCGATTGAATCCTTTTAACCTCAACGATATTAATGAATATCTTGAGCTGGCAATTTATAGTGGAAAGACCTTGAAGGACTGGTTATTGCCCTCAGATGGCTTGCAACATCGATTCGCAGAATTATTAAAAAAGAAGACAGGAGGTATTCCGTTGATTTTAAAGAATACTTTAGTAGCCCTAGCAGAGAAAGCTGCAGACTTGTCGCAACCTGTTATCAACGATGACAATATGGAAAGTGTGTTAGATGATATTTTTCACTCTGTAGTACGAAAGACAACAACGTTTATTGTTCCGGAGATATTAGATTCTGCAACCCTTCTTCGATATCAATTTGTTCTTTTCAATTATCAGCTCGGGACAGTTTTTCCAATCAACTTTGCAATTGCTCTATGTGGAACGACAACTTATTTGATGGATTTGGTTGCAACTTTTGGGTTTTACTCTGAAGTTTTGGGCGAGGAATTCAAGATTGGTTGTTGTGAGTTTATATTGCGAGCTCATAGCAACTATAAATTTTTCCGTGAGGCTACTGAACTTTTTCCTTTATCTCCGTTTAGTTATATTCCCGACACTTCAACAGCAAAAGGAGTCTTCTTTGAATTTGTATTTATGAAGATCTTTCGCTTTCGCTTATTAACTTTTCTTCATTCTAATTCCTCGCCTATTGTACATTCTGCTATTCCAGGAATTTTCCAGGGTTCTTTTATTGAACAGGACAATGTTTCTTATTCTATGGAATCAACAAAATCTTATGATATACCCATCTTGAGAAATGTCTCTGGTTCATTTTCTGATTATTATGGGGATTATTTACAACGTTGTGGTATTTTTGTTCCGAAAGATGGCAATTCTAGTGGTCCTGATGCATATGTTGTATTCCATAATGGACAAACACGTTATGTTGTTGGATTTTCATTCAAATTTTATCACAAAACTGAATTTTCGAAAACAAATATTGAGGAGGAAGCCGAACAATTTTTTAAGGGAGTTGTTTCCGTTTTGAATGACGAATCTTTTTCATCTGTTCAACTTCGTTTTCAGTTTGTGGTAGTATGTACTAGATATGATCAATCTGTAGGTTTCTCTACCGAAGAACATAATATTGTTGAAGATGCAAGTGGTTTTGTGACTCAACATTCTTCGGGATCAACTTTGAATGAAAGTAGTCGATCATGTCTGCAATTGGTAATTGTTTCTCAAAGGAACCTTGAAGTGTATTTGGGAAGAGATAATGTCGAAACGTTGAGGAAAATTGGGGAAGCAAACCGAGGAGAGTTTTCTAAAGACTTTTCAGTATGGTGTGAAACTGTTTTTGAGTCGATGTCCAATGAATATGTTTCATCTTTGGAAACGGAGCAATCAAATGTTACTTCAAGAGTGACTCGAAATATAAGACCGAGAACAAATGAGGAGAATAGGATGCAAATGGAAGAGCTTCAAAGTGCTATGCAAGTGGAAGGAGGAGATGCACGAGGCGAACAAAGTGTTGCAGCATCGAGTTCTTCGTCATTCGATTGGAATACTTTCCTAAGAGAATATTGTGGGTTCACGGAAGCTTCGTTTATTGAGCGCTATGCACGTCAACTGCGTGTGTTTAGTCCAAAAACCTTTCCATATTTGGACGACTCTACTTTATTAACCTTTGGTGTAGCGCCTGGAGACGTCATTCTGATTCTTCGTGGCATCCATGAGTTTCTTGAAAAGGAGATGAAGCACTGAACCTGGTCTTACTGGAAAATGCTTACAAAAGGCTTCTTTTTCTAATCTCCCTCATCGAAATAAAGTCTTGAGAATTTTTTTTATTTTCCAACTTGCGAGAGCGGTATTGTTTGAACATTACATTTGTGCTACAATTCTTGAGCTCATGGCAATGTATCCTTTGTGTGTTTATTCAGTAAATTCAGAAAATGCTGCGGTAGAGACAGAGTAAATAATAGAGAACTGAGTCGCTTGAAATCAAAACTCTAAGATCACTTTCTGCAACAGATTATTCTTCTATAGAGAAACTATAAGAAATTTTCTGAGAAGCACTGATATCATCTAAATGAATTTCTACAACATCGTTTTGTTGGATACAAAAAATTGTGTAGTTGTTATGGGAACAATGTCCTTAGTAGTGGATTCCCAGTCGTAACTTCTTTTCTTTTTGGATAATAGTAGAACAAAAAAATGACAAGGTTTTCAACTTGTGTGGAATTGTATATAAAGAATGTAGTCAACTTGGTTCCATTTTGGACACTATTTCTGACCAACGTTGGAAATACGTTCTTCAGAATAACATTTCTCCTTGGCAAAATCTTAGCTACATTCGATTTGCTTGTCAAGTTTGCCCATGTTGTGACCTTTTGAGGAAGATATTATTCACATAGAAGAGAAATTCGAGAACATAGAAAACTATCTTTATGCAATGGAATATGCGTGAGAGAGAATGAGAGTTACTTTCTTGGGTTCCATCTGCATTTGTTTATTTCTTGACGATTGAAAGAGGAAGTTATTATTACAATAACAGTTATGTTGATTGTAAGTAAAAAGTATATTGCCAACTATTTCATACAGCTTGTGGATATTCAGAATGAAATAATGAATAGTGAAATGGCTATAAGAGCAAAGAATTTTGATCAAAGCTTTGACTGTAATGAAATAGTGAGCAACCAGTTGTTATTTTTCCAAGTTGATTACAAACATTGAACCTTAATCTCCATCAAGATAAACAATATAAAGATTGGTTCCCAAAATGAAGCATTTTTTAAAGGACATTCATTTCTCATCAAGTAAAGAATATGTTCGAAATGAAATGGTAAGAGGACCATGGATGATCTTGTTTCTATCCATTTAAATGCAACTGAAGAGTTGTGCAACTCTTTTCAAAATGTATTTGACAACTTCAGTTGTTGCTATTTCCATTTTAGTTGCTTTCATTTAAGAACCGACTGAAGTTCACAAATACAGAATCACTTGTCCACTTAAGGAACATAAAAGAAAGTATTGGGTTCCTCAATCCATTTTTTATCTATTTATTTCATTCACAAATATACAAGAAAGTCATCATAACAATTTTGGGTCAAATGAGTTTCATGCTTTATCCACTAATGTTTCTTTTCTACTTGTGGCAGCAGAAGGATTGTTATCCAAAGGATTGGAAGCAGAACGATCTTTCTTATTGTAGGCTGCTGCTGAAGGAAAGGTCGCAAATGAAGACTTCAAAGGCTTCGAAAAAATCTGACTAGACAACTGCAGTTCATTCAATTCCTTATTAAGCCAATTGATCAATTGCTGGTTACTTTCCAATACTTTTTGGTTTTCCTCCAATTTCGCATTACAAGTCTGGAAAGATTGATTTAAATGCTCCAACTCGCGTTCTTTGCTTGAGACTTTTTGATTCAAAACTTGCATCTCTTGTATGAGTTGTTCTATTTTATGTTGTTTCTCTTGTAATAGTTGTTCTTGTTGATTGGCAATGGTTGTCTTCATTTTTGCCTTTTGTCTCGCGTTCTTCAACTCTTCTTGAAGTTTTTCAATGATACTGTTGCCTTTGTTGATTTCTCCAATAGAACTTTTGAGTTTTTCTTCCAAACGACTACGACTCATCCGATACAATTCCAACTGGGTCTTCAAATTTTCTTTTTCTTCTTTATCCTTGAAAGCTTCTTTAGTATTCTGTTCTGTCCTTTGATATTTCATTACCTTTTCCCATTCACGAGTCTGAAACTCTGATTGGGTTTGCCATTCTTCTATTTGAGTAGACAATTCCCGATTCCGTCTTTCCAACTCTTCCAAACGGCTAGTCTTTTGTTCCAAATCTAATAAGTAATGTTCTTTCTCTTGTTTCATAGTTTTCAAGTCAGCTTTAGCTTGATCAAATTGTGACTCTAGTTCATCTCTTTTGGAACGCATTCCTTTCAGTTCTTTTTGAGTTTGTTCCAACAACTCTCGTAAATGAGTTACTTCGGTATTCCATTGTTCAGCTTTTTGTTTCCAAACAAGGACTTCATCTTGATACACTTTTATATCTTCTCTTTTCTGTGCTTCCAAATCTTCCCATAATTTCTCTCTTTCAGCTTTCTTCTCTTCTCTAATTTGGTTCAACTGTCGTTCCTTTTCTCTTTTCCAATCTTCCAATTGACGTTCTTTTGTAGACAACAAACAAATGAGAATTTGGCTTTCAAATGAATTTTTATCCATTAAACTTACCAGTATCTGATTCAAGTTGATGCAACTGATTGGAAAGCTGCTCATTTTTACTCTTCTCTTGTCCCAACTGAGTTTCCAAATGAGCAACTTGCGACTGCATATTCTCTATCATTCCGTATAGTCTATTCAGCGATAATTTAAAATGACTACAAGTTGTTACACTTTGAATATGTTGATAAGAACGTGTATCTCTCTCTCTCTTACTTATGTATCGTCTCGTGGCTCGCAACATTTAAATCAACAGATAGATAAGTCAGTGTCCGGAATCGAGTGTTTTCTTCAATTATCAAAGTTGCCAATTCTTTGTCTTTCATGGATAAAGTGGCTTGAAACCTTTCCTTATCCTCTCGACAGTTGGACAACAACTCGTGAAATTTGCTCCCAAAACCTTGAAAATCCACCAACAGGTTTTGTTGGTGTTTGAAGACGAGAAAACTATCTTCATCCCAATAACATTCGTAAAATAAAAAGGGGTCTTTTTCGTCGAAAAGTTTCAAACGAAATATTTTGTTGGCTACATTTTGGGTTTCATAACAAGTAGTGATGGTAACCGTTATCTTGTTATGTTCTCCATTCAAAGAAATGACCTTGACTAACAATGTTTGAGTATGGTTAGAAGAATAACAGAGCGTAGTCATTTGTTTGACTTTTCTCTTTGCAATTCAAATAAGGAATCGACTTTTCCATTTCTTACTTGTCATGTCGTTCTTTTCAAGTGCTCGAACCCGCCTTCAGTCACTTGCCATTTTTATTGTTAATAGTCGTGTTGGAAACTTGACTCATGAGAACCCTTTGACTTTTCGTTTCTTCAGCTATCCAAAGCATAACTTATATACTACTTCTGTGTTGCCTGGGTCAAGTCATTCATTATACAAAGGCACTCATGGTTTCCCTCATAGACAAGTACTCCAACAACCAACACTATTATTATCGCTCAAACGCTCGTTATTCTTACAAAGTCAACCCACTCCTAACCCAGACTCTGTCAAGTTTTTACCAGGTAGAGAAGTAGTTCCTAATGAAGCAAGTGTAGACTTTCCCAACGCTCAGTCTGCTCAAATATCGCCTTTAGCAAAAAGGCTGTTTCGGATTGAAGGCATATCTTCAGTTTTCTTAGGTCCTGACTTTGTGACGGTAACCAAAAGGGAAGATGTCAGTTGGTCGGTGTTAAGGCCTGAGATATTTGAAGCCATACTAGAATTTTATAGTAGTGAAGAACCCGTTCTTTTGGGAAGTTTACCCGAGTCAGATACTACTATAAGACCGGAAGACGATGAAGTAGTTGCTATGATAAAGGAATTGTTGGAAACAAGAATCAAACCTGCAGTTGCAGAGGATGGAGGAAATATATTGTATAGAGGATATAATCCAGATACTGGTATTGTAGACTTGGAATTACAAGGTTCTTGTACGACTTGTAGTTCTAGTGTAGTGACTTTGAAAAGTGGAGTAGAAAATATGCTTATGCACTATATTCCTGAAGTCAAAGGTGTAAGAGAAGTCATAAGTGAAGAAAGACAAAAGATGGAACAAGTAAGTAGAGAACAATTGCAAAGTTTAGAACAAAGACTTCGAGACTCCGGTGTATTGAGAAGTTGACTATGTTGTATGAAAATCATAAAAAGAATGTAAAAAAAGAAAGGATTGGAAAAGGAGATTATATAATATCTTATATGACATTGGGTTTCCAATCTCTATTGTACTTTACAAACCAACCAAAGATATTAAAGCCTTGGAAAAAGTTGAGTAAGAAATCAACGAATGGTTCCAAGAACAAGTTTATAAATAGTGAAACGAATTTTTGTCACCCAGTTGGGTGTTGTGTTCACAGAGGACTCAAACTCTACCGTGATAGTTGGCTTATCAGTTGCTCGACACATAACTTAAAATATGGCTGTATTGTCCATTTGACACTTTTCTTATTTAGTACTTTGCTAATTAATACTGCTCCTTTGTTGATGGGTCTGGACAAGGATTCTTGGCAAGTACAAGCCAGCGTTATCTCAGATAATACACTTCTTAGAAGGTATATTGTCACCAATGGAAAGGCCATATTACGTTATGCTCTTCCCATTCCTATCGATGAACCTATAAGAGTATTACAATCAACTTTGGAACAATTGCTTATCGATTTGCACTCACCTGGAAAATCAGGTCTTTCGTTGGCTTGGAAGGATATACAAAAGGCAGTACAAATCTTGCATAAAAGTGAAGTTGAAATATTGTTGGATAGTAGAAAGGAACATAGAGATGAAGCTGCCAGTGCTTTGGGAGATATCGATCAATTGCTCGGCATTATTCGAGATAAAATACAAATTGCAAAAAATAGTAAAAAGGCAGTCAAAGATATGAAAAATGACATTGCTAACGAGACAGAAACAAGTTTGGATAAAATTGCTCAGTTAGAAGAGTGGATGGTTCAAGGATTTCCTTATCCAATACCACACAAGTATGATTCCTTACCTCGATTGAAAGGAAGAGCCACTGTGGAAATGACGATTACGAAAGCCAATGTTGCATTGAATTCTTCACCTTTTAGAGATAAGAATGGCAGTCCAATAGGAAACAGTATCCATTTAGTAATTGTATTGGATGGTTATAGTGCACCTTTGACTAGTGGAAATTTTATGCAAGTTTTATTGAATAACTTATATCAAGATGCAACAGTAGTGGACAAGGATTCAGGTTTCTATTTGTTGATTCAACCCAAACAATTATTTATCGATCCAGATACTCAGAAACCTCGCAATATTCCTATGGAAGTTTTGATAGATGGAGATCCTTACCCTATTTGGGGAAAGACTTTAGAAACTGCAGATTTAGCTGATTTGCAACCTGTTTTGCCTATGACAGCCTTTGGAGCAATAGCTATGGTACATTCTTCGGAAGATGAGAACGATGCCAATTCCAGCTTCTTCATATTTACATTGGATCCCAGATCAGAACAAGCCAGAAACAAAGGAGGAAATATTCTCAATGGCAATGTAGCTACTTTTGGATATATTGTTCAAGGATTAGAATATCTTCCCCAAATTTCACCCAAAGATAAAATAACTTATACTCGGATATTGAATGGAATAGATAAATGGGAAAAAGAAGGCGCTTTTTAACCTAAAAATGTATTTCTATCCAACCATTCTGTCCATATTTTACAAAGTAGAGGAATACTTTGTTGATATCGACTAGGAAATAGTTGTTGAGATAGTAACCACCATTTTATCATCCGAGACGAGTGTCCATCCCAATTGGGCATTTGTTGTCTCCAATCTTCATACAATCGTCTTATGAGTGGAATGTGAGGTACTTGCATGAGTTGTAAATACATCCATAGCCATTTTTGATTCCATAAAGTTTGTTCATCTTTTTTCATGATGTGACTAGTCTGCTGAGAATATCTTTCTGGTTTCATTGTTATTGCTGATTGAAAGAGAGACCAGTCGAGATGACTACTTTCTAGTTGATTTTTCACATGAAGAAAACACATTTGTACAAAAGTGGGTTCAAGAATAGGAATATGTTCGTCATTCATAATAGAGTTGTTGAGAAAACGACCATAATGAAAATATTGCGATAAAATACTCAAATGTTTCATGGATAAAGAATGCAAAGACCATTTCGCCATACTACAATTGCATATGTTCATCATCTCTAAATAGAGTTGCAAAGCTTCAGGCTTATCATGTGATAGAATCTCATATAGAATAGCATCATAAATGGAAGGCTTTGTGGGTTCACAAAAATATTGAAAAAAACCGGATAAAGATGGATATTCCATAAGACTCTCCATTGCTATCTCATCTTGAGTGTCCACTTGAATAGGAAAAGAATGAAACAATGGCCATGAAGAAGTTAACATTCGTCCTTTCAAGGATATGGCAATGACACGAGATAACAGTCCTCGAGTACCTTTGGGATCCATAGAATAGTCAAGTTGACCCATTCGGCGTCTCACAAAGACAACTATACGTCCGTATTCTACTTTCATAAATGGATTCGAATTGGAAGGATTCTTTGCTTTCTTTCGATGTCTTTCCAATAGACTATTTTTCTCCAGAAAGTTTTCATCTATTACAAATGTTCTCGGTAAATATCTCGGACCGCTTATTTGAATCTTTTCAACAATTGTCCATTCAGGTACTAAACAAGGTGACATTAACCTCCAAGTACTAGAATAATAATCTCGACTATCCTTCAACGTTATTTCTATTGGAACAAAACAAGGCTTGTTCGTTCGAATATCGCGAGTTTCCAATAATCGATTCTCAGTAGCTAAAATATAGAAATGTCGAAATGCTTGAAGATGATACTGATTGTCAGTAGGAGATGCAGGAAAAACGGGATATAGTGCACATAATAAGGAAGCAATCGCAAAGCGACTCCTTTGAAAACTGCAACTACCACCTCCAAGAAATAAAAAGCCAATAGACATGCTATTCATCATATAATTGGCATATCTAGAAGAGTGACTTGTATCTGATTTGTGACGAATGCTTTTGTGTAAACGACGCAATATTCTAAGTAGCTCCAAATTTCCACTTCCTGCCATAATCAAAGACAAAGACAGCGGCAATAAACCCAAATACATGGAAATATGGGTTGGCACAATCTTCTCCAGACTAAGAAATAATTGCTTGACTAGAGTATAGGCTTGAGAGTCGAATGTTCCAGCATATCGTAGGCCGATGCTTACAGCAGCAGCCAAAAGAATCATTATAGTTCCTACAATTATATCGGTCATAGGATTGTCTTCGCTTAATTTTCGACGTAATTGTTCTAATAATGCATCCAAAGATATCTCTTGTCCTCCCACTAGTAAGGAATTCTTACAAAGGCTCGGCAACAAATTGATAAGATAAGAAGGGGTTGCATAAATATAGTCCCATAGTATCAACTGTCGTGATAATACAAACAAATATAAATGATCTGGTCGAATACTCTCCAATTCATAAAGCGATTCTGGAATAGTAAGCATGTTGGCAACACTCCAATCATTGGTCTGTAAATACCTACCAACAACAGAATTATATAAAAGTAAGATATATAACGCAAAAATATTCCTTACATGAGACATAAAGCCATGAGAGCTGCCGGAGTAATCACATCGTTGTTAGAATAATTCTCTAAAATAACATTTGGATGAGTATCCAAAATGATTGATTGTGAAGTGCTTTTTGTATTCTTGCCATAAATACAAGAATACAGTTTCTCTTCCAAATGAAGGTCTTGTAATGCAGCGCTTTTTGGACCCATTCCTAAACAAATAAAACCCAAACCAAAACCAACTGCCAAACAAAAACCTTGTCTTTGTCCCAAAGGAATATCGGGCTCCATATTTCGAGTCATTTCGGCATATAAACCTTCAACCATAAGACGATGACAAGTTCCTTGATATAAAAGACCTAAACCAAAACATGCAGCAGACTTGACAAAGTATTCCATTAGAAAAGAAACAAAATGTTATGGATAACTTTTACCTGAACTGAAACAGGAACTTCCCATTCAGGTTGAGAAAATGACAAGGGATTGAAATGTCTTATATGAATACATAACATTTTAGTTGCTGAATTGTCCATTGTGCCTCTTCCACTACAGGCAACACCCAAAATCAATCCAACGCAAGTAAGTTCATCTCTTCCTATCAAGTAACTATACCAATCTGTTGTTTGCAACACAGGAAGATGGCCAGTCAAACCAAGTCCAAGCAACACCCCTGCATGAGAAGCACAAGGCTCCGGTGGTTTATTACTAACTATCCAGGAACGAGATAACATAGTTTCAGGAGAATTAGGATCACCATAACAAGGTTCTCTTCGAAAGAACCTCAAACTTGCAGCAACTCCATTATGAAAACGTGGCCAATCAAAGTAATGAACAGAAACACTAGACATGTCCAACTTCACAAGTGGTAAGGAATCAGAAGGAGCTTTGGCAGCTAAACTATAGAAAATGAGATATTTTAAAGTCACACAAGAAAAAGAAAGAGAGGCATTGTGTAGCTTACCAAATTTTTGGTATCACAATAGGTTCCGTAGGATCAAAGGAAATATAGGTACCCAATGCAAAAGCACCTCTTCCTATACAAACACCTAAATTCTTTAAAAGTCTTCCAAGTAATTTGTTTGAAGATACAGTGACAGAATCATCTTCATACAATGCTTTCAAGTCAAGGGAGTCTAAAGATAATGGAGAAGCAGAATCCAATAAATTCTGTACTTCCATAGTTCTTCGATCAGCTGCAAACCTCATATGAATACAAGGATCATTCACTTCCATTCCCGATGTATAATTACTCGTATCAAAGTCAAGTAATAGGTCTTCCATATACATGGACTCCATCTCTAATTTATGAGACATATTCCATTCACTTGTCTCCATTTCTTCCATTCCTAACAATTTGAAAATGTCATCATTATACAAGTTATTCAATTGAGCATCTATCCAATTGTCCTTATATGAATCATTGAGAAACTTGCAGTTTTGCAATGTGTCGTAGATTGGTGTGGATAGACTTAGAGGTAAGGTAGGCAAAATATTCTGTACAAATGAAGGAATAGAGACTATACTTTCCAAAGAGCCATTATCATTTTGGAAAATCATTTCTAGAGCAACACATATCTTTTCAAGTCGTTCAAGTGGATTATAAAGACCTCTAAAATGAAACTTTTGAATGGTAGCCTTTAGCAAAGCCAAATCTTCGAGATTTCCTATGACAGCACTGGACAATGCATCAAAAATACAACAAAGAGGGGTAGAAAGTTCTTCCAACTGTTGATGATCATAATAAATTGGATGTAACAAGTCTCGATCATAGTGTTCCATCCAACTAGAACAACCTAATAAAGCTATCCACTTCTTTACTTGTCTGGCAACTGCTTCCAACTGATTCTCATTTGTGACGCAAGTCTTGTAACATTCATAAAGTAGATGAAAGGCAGTTGCTATTGAATAAACTATTTGGCCAATAGAGTCGGCTTTTGAAATTAGTATTCGAGTATCCATCTGTATTTGTGAAGAACTGATTTCCCAAGGAAGAAATGATATGTTCTCATTCTTGTAGAATATCGAATATTTGCGAGCCAAATAACTATTGAAAGAATAGTCGTACAAAAGTAGAGACCGAGCATTCTCATCATTCTTTGTATTTCTAAGCAACTCTTCTTTCAAGCCTCCATTCAACAATTTGGATAGTAACCCTTCAACAACACAACTCAATCCTAATGAATTTTCATATGCATGAAGTAAATAATTTCTCAAAATATCTAATGACTGTTCCAAACTCTTCCATTCTTTGCAATGTTCTAGTGAAGCCGTTGAGAAGGAACGATCGTTGTGTTGACAATGCATATAGAAAATCCACAAAGAACGCAACAAACAACTTAATTCGGGTTTCAAAGCTGCAAATGAACATATCAAAATATCTTTCGTTGGTTGTGAATGAGGACGAAAACAATCTAATGAAATGCGATAAAACTGATTATCATTCCATTCCAAAGTAACACTTGAAGAGACTGAGTCCTTCAAAGACCTCACAAAACATGAAAGTTGATTCCCTTCCCTTTGGTAAGAGTCATAAGCTCTGGTCACCAAGGCAAAAGATACTGATGCTTCCGATATCCAAAATAGTTCAAAACGAAAGATCCATTGGCATCCAATATAAACATGAAACAGTCCCATCGCATCTAAACATAATAGATCTTTGAATTCTTCTCGAGTTATTGCAACTGCCTGGATGCTAATGAAAGCTTCCAACTTCATCTTCAAATGAAGCTTCTCCAAATGCATGTTGTTTTGTTTTCTCTCAGACCAACTAGCACCTTGAACTAGTAACATGTATAAATAAGCATATTGGTCTAGAATAGCCAAATACAACTGTCCCAACTCATCATGAAAAAAACTAAACTCTTTTGGTGTTATGTGAAATACTTCATCTACTCTGTCTACAAAGAAGGAGTCCAAGTCTGTTTCATCTACAGAAATATCTCTTTCACTTTCTATCTTTTCTTCATTACAGAGCACTAGAGACATCGTTTCTAAAACTTCGTCATAAGTAACCAACAGAGGCAAGTCTGAACTACAATAGATGATACGTTCTCCTTGATGGACACCTCGAAGGAAATAAAGTTTTCTTTGTTTCTTTTGAAATAATAAATAAACCGTGTCTTTTGAACTGTATTTGTTATTTGGAGTCAATGGTAAGATGACTGCCCAAGAAAGTTCCAACAGTTCACAACAAACACTGCCTGAAAAGCCATATCCAAGTTGCCAAAAGTTGTCGTTGCCCATCTCATCAAAAAGAATTAGTCGATCAGATATACACACAGCCACATAGTCATAAGTCCCATCGGTAAAAAGCACAGGCAAGGAAACGCGGTCTCCTTCGGCAACAAAAGAAAACTTTCGCTTAGTCCAATCTGCTACTTTCCATACGATAGATATATTCTTCCCATTTTTGTGAAGCACTAGTTCATTTTCTTCGGTACCATAAACACAAGTCTTTTCTCCTGGTTTCGGAACAAATTTAGAATTGAGTGTTGTCTTTTGTAGAAAAACTTCACAATACGACATTTTCAAATCGTCCAAATTGGGCAACTTTACAAAAATGGCGCTCGATGATAATAAGCTTTTTTGGATTCATAAATACTCAACAAAGAATAATAGAATTTCCTACAATTTGGCTTATTATGCATTCAAGTTGGCGATATGTGTATTTTCTATGATCATATACATATTCTTTGGTTCTCACTCTTTAGAATACGAATGTGTGTTTATCCAATAAGGAAAAAGCTCTTCAATATTTCCCAAATTAGAAACAAAGAAAAAATCGATAATGCTTTTTTCGTGAGCATTGATCGATCGATCAAGTGAGAAGAAGAAGAGAAACTTGAATATCGTATATATATATATATATATATAGATGCGACAGTCTGACGAAACCTTTCCCTTGCTATTGGTAAGCACTTGATATATTTTTGGTTTGCTATACAAACCTATGAAAGGACTTGCCAGACGGACAACGACGACAACTGCAAGTTTCCGTTTATGATACTATAGGAGACGTGAAGAAGAAGCTTTGCGAAGAATTCCACTTCATAGATATGCTTCATTTTCACTTTGGAAATATAGAATTGCAAGGTATTTACGTTGTTTTTGCTGTAATTGGCTTTCCTTATTCAGTTGAACTGCGTACCCAAGACAATAAGACTCTCTATGACTATGGAATTCCCGAAATATACGAACAAACAGAGTCTTTGCTTCGTATGATTGAATTAGGTGGTTTGGATCCTCAAAAGAAACCAGAAGCTCTCGAGAGAATGTGCATTGTAGTGGAGTCCATGAAGAATGGAGTAACGGACCCAAAAGAATTAGTCAGTGTAGTGAAGAGAGACTCGAAAATAACGGAGACTAACGCAAGGTTAGTGCACACGATTTGCTTTCCCTGTGACAATCTTCCTTATGTTGAGAAAGGACTGGTAATGCTAACCGTCACGAACAGTCAAGTTGTTCCAAACAAGCTCAATCGAACGTAGTTCAACCTCCTACTTCACCTCGTTCTTTTACTAGTGTTACGAAACAAGGCAATAGTCAGACTTCAGCTGTGGGGTTTCATAGTGCAGTATCTTCTTCGAATGTGGACACAAAACCTTCGATAATAAGTCCCAAGTTACCTTTGGAGAGATTGGACGAACCGAATACTTTAGTGGATAACAATGACGATTTATTTGCTCGTTTAACGGATTACTTTCCAGATTTGTTTACTCCAAAAGGTCTATCCTCTTTACGTTCTGGAGCTACACCTCGAGCTTGGACTACTCCAAGGGATACTGGTTTCCATATGGAAGAGTCTTCTCTTGTTTCTTCTCCAGTTGATTGGGTAACTGGTACAAATGATAACCATTCTCTACTTGGCTCTCAGGCAATCAAGGATAATGCACCTAATTGGATTCGAGAGTTTACCTCGAATTGGAATGTTTTGCCTCAAGATAGAAATGAAAAGAGTCCAAAGAGGAGAAGTCGACAAACGGAAGCCAATTCAAGTGTTTATGACTCTTTTCAAAACAGTGGAGATGAGCATGAGAATTTATCTGTTTCTAATGACTCGAGTTCAGATAGAGAGGAATTGTTGGAATGCAAGAGTGGAGAATATTCAACCAATCAGTCTACTTATAGTGGAAGCCATTCAGACAATACGAACAGCAATCATAACAATCCAACTCTGGATGATGATCATATATCCAATATGGAAAAGCATGAAACAAGAACAGTAAAGAGGCGAGGTCGAAAGAGAAAACATCCAGAAATGGTAAGTTTTCACGTTTCATTCCATTTCATTGATTGTTCAAATATAATAGACGGAAGAAGAACGGAAAGCATATCGAGCTATGCAAAATCGTAGAAGTGCGGAACGTTCTCGTCAAAGAAAAAAAGTGAGATAATATATTTATTTGCACATATAAGACTTTTATGAAGAACAATTTGTTAGATACAACAAGAGGCTTATCAGAAACGTATGGAAGAACTTTGTACAGAAAACGACGAATTGAGAAGTACAGTGCAAGCATTACAAGAAAGTAAGGGAACTATTGATATTTTGTTTTCTTTCTAAGGATGATATTGTATAGGACTTGAGTATTTGGAAAATCTCTTATCTGTTAGTATTCGTCGATGAGGATAAAATATCTCAACCCAATGGAAAGATGAGTTACACACATCAACTTAATATATACATACATATACATTTGTTTCTTCTTTTACTGACTTTTTAGTAATTTGTGAATTGACAAAAGGCATTGAGTAAAAAATGGGTTCTTCTAGTTACTTTCTTATGTTTGTAGTTTCAAGTGGAACAGTTTTGATTAGAAAAGAAGAAAGAAGAACTAGTGGTTATCATAAACCAATCGTTTCAGGACCTTCTCACCTCAACTTTCATAAAATATTTCGTACTTATTACGCTTGTGATAAGTTACCTTTTCCTGAAAAGGAAGCTTTACCCTCCTCTTTGGACCACTACAAGAAACAAGCACAACCTAAATTTGATAATAAAGCAGCCAAAGCTGCAGAGTTGATAGAAGTGATGGAAACTTTGGAGAATTATCGACAAAGACTGTATAATGAACTGCAAGTTCGTACTCAACAATTGGGAACTGAACCAGAACAGCAGCAGGTAGGTTCTTTCTGGTTGAAACTTGATATAAGTTTAAAATGAGGAAAGAAATGGATTGAAAATAACCCACAACTAAGATATATCGAAGAAACTGTAAAACAACTGCAGACTCAACTGGCTAGATTGGAGTGGTCAGCTGATAAAGAATGTTAAGAGGACAGTGAGTTGCTATCCAATATTGTTTCCAGTTGTTGTAATATACGATATTCATCTTGTTCAGTTTGTATACGACGACAAAAGTCAATTCCTTCTTCAGCTATTGGAGCACAAAACTCTCGTGCGAATTGGAAGATAACGTTTTCAGTTTTTGGGTCGTTGCCTTTCAAGTTGGGATGTTCACTTCTTTGAGCTACTCTAGAAATACAAATATGTATAGGAGTTGTAAAGACAACACAACCTACGACTGCATTTGCATTCTTTGCAAGGTCTTAACAATCTTTGTTAGTTTATAAAACGCAAATTATGCACATACTTATCCATATTGCTCTCTGTTCCTTTGTGACGTTGCATCTATCAATAACGATTGATTTACCTTGCAAGAGATGGGTTATGGTATAATTCTCGCACTGCTGACGAGTGAATAGCTCATCTTGACAAACTCTACACCTTTTCGAAAACATTCTCAACTATATAAAAGCATAGTAGAAATAGGCATACCATCCTTTTGCTTCAAGTTTCTTAGCAAAAGTAGTCTTACCAGAACCTGGTATACCAATCAACATCAAAAGTATTGGGCGATATTGATATTCATATTGGTTTGTTGTTGATAATGGACTTTGGAAAGTTTCTTCTCTTGTAAGCTTTTCTCTTTGATGAGAACAGTTGGAATCCTTATTCTCCACGCCAACAACACCAGATTGGCAAGACACAAACTCTATATCATTATCTGAAGAATCACTATTTGTATGAAACATAATGGGATGCAATTGTGACACTCTTAATAAACGTGTTTTGAATGACTTTACACAAGTGGCAAGTCTTAATCCAATCGATCCATGCTTATGAAATAACCATTCCACAAACATTTTTGTAAACAAATGGAGAAAGATGTGGTATGGCGATCTTCATTTTGGTTGGTAAGTAAAACGTTGGTGTTGGTATTTGATATGCTTATTGAAAGAAAAGGGTTTCTTTTCGGGAATATTTACTTTGGCTATCTCTTGGTAAGTATAATATTCAACGGCCTCTTTATGATGATGTCCATTCTCACTTGTGAATCTTTCTTCCATAGTGTGCTGTTCTTTTTACTATCCAAGTGGAACAAAAGAAAGAAGAATGTTTTATCAGAAAGAAAAGGTCCATTCAACTCTTTACAGTATCCTTTATGTGAAAATATGGAATCTGCTTTATGGCTCAATAGAATTATCGGTAAACTATGGGAAAAGTTGGAGACTACCTGGTCAGACTTGTTGATGAAGGAATTACAACAATTGGCAAAGAAGCATCAACCTCAATTCCTCAAAGATGTAATGGTTACTCATTTAACACTTGGAAGACACGCACCTGAACTTCATAACCTCAAGTGTTTTAGAACTTTTTCTGCAGACACTATTGTATTGGACGCAGATATGGATTGGATGGCTCGTAGTAGTGAAGTTCGGGTCACAGCTACTCTGTTGGGTATAAAGCCTCCTCTTTTGAGTGTTCGAAAAATAAATATTCACTCCAAATTACGTTTGGTAAGTCTTTCCATCTATTCTCATCAGAAATAGGAACTGAACAGTGGAGCTTATATTAGGAGTTGGGCTTAAATGATTGTTCGTGGGGTATTGAAAGTTTAAAGTTTTCCTTTGTACAACAGCCTAAAGTTTATTTGGAGATTGTACCTTTGGCAAGTGGTATAGATTTGATGGACATTCCAGCATTTCGTTCTTGGCTTTATCATCTTTTAACAGTCAAAGCATTTGAAAAGATGTTATTTCCTAATAAGATAAGTGTACCTATTCAACCAACATCAAGTCGATCCTTCCAAAGTCTTACAAGTCATCCTGGCAATTCTTCATCTCTACTGAGTTTCTTTTATACATTGAAAGACAATGCTAGTTATCCACCAGGTACTGATGGCGTATTAACTATACGCATTTTAAGTGCCCAAATATCGATATCGGAAGATCTATTTGCAAACTATTCGGAATGGAATCCATCGATAACTATTCAATTAGGACGTCAAGTGATGACTACACATAAGAGTTATCGAACCAATGAACCCATATTTGAAGAAAAGTTTGAATTTCTGATAACCAATCAATGTAAGCAATGGATCAATATTCGACTGTATCATACTCCACAAGGACTATTTCAGGTAATCAATATTGACTATGGATGATAATCATGATGATTGAAAGAGAGTTTGTAGATGGTGAATTCCTTAGGACAAGATATCTTGATCGGTTCTGGTTGGTTACCATTGGAAGTATGTAAAGATGCTGTAGATAAGAATATGGATATTTGGTTGCCTTTGATAGCTTCTAGATGGTCTCATTCTTCTTCTTCTTCTTTTCAACCTCATTCGATAGCTTCCGTTCATGTAAAGTATTCTTATGAAAAGCTTTGGGATCCCACTGCATTGGAAACAACTCCTAAAATAGAAAACAACCTATCTAATCATATAGACTTTGAAGAATCTTCTATTCCACAAGGTTGGATACAAATTCATCTATTGGAAGCTTATCAATTGCATCATATGGACAATCCTGATTGTTTCATAAATGATGTTCGTTGTTTATTGGAATGGGGTTCTCATAAGGCATCATTTACTAGTCTAAGAAATGAAATATGTCCCGTATGGAATGCATTTACAGAATTTCCAGTTTGTCATATTCAAGAAGAATATTTGACTTTGACTGTGATGGATCAAGACCCTTTTGCTAAAGAAGCATTATTAGGTCGTGCTTATATTTGTATCGATCATTATGGCGATATTCAACCTAAAGAGTATTGGATTCCTATTGATAAGAATGGAATAGTACATTCGGATAATACTCATTCCAATGGTTGGCTTAGATTGTGGTTAACTTTCAAAGCCACTTTACAAGTACTTGTATCACTATTTGGTTGTTGATCAAAACTGAAAATGGGTTGATAGGATGAAAGTTTTTATACTTGGACTAGGAGTGGAAATTATTTTGTGATTCAACCGGATATCGATTATTGGAAGAAAAGATTGGTTTCTCCTTTTCATACTTACCATGACTCCTCAAGACACACTTTGAGCAATAATTCCATACGATTATTTCGACAATTGGAAAATTTAGATTGGAGAGAAGCAGCACAACTTGTGATGAGAAGAACTCCGTTGTCTTTATGGAGATTGGCCAATCAATCTCTCAATACTATTTGGCATTCTACAGGAGTCTCTTCTCTAGTATCTGTTCAGAATGAAACTGGAACGACGAATTTATGTACCAAACCTTGGATGATTACTTTCCAAACTGGTGACTGTTGGGGAGCAGGAACGGATGCTTCTGTATGGATTCAACTATTTGATGAAAATGGAAATCACACCGAACGATTGTTGTTTTCTAATTCTGATGGTTCGCATTTTTGTCGTCGAGGACAAGACACTTTTGTGATTTCTGTTCCAGATAGTTTACAAATACCCAACAAAATAAGAGTTGGTCATCAAGGAAGTGGATTATTTCCTTCTTGGTTTTTGAAAAGAGTTGTTATACAACCTGCATCTTCTGTAGAATCTTGGCAACGAGAGTTTGTTTGTAATCAGTGGATTATATATAGTCGAAGAAATGGTAAGGATGGTATGGAATGCATAGTGAATGGAATGTAAAATATATTGTTTTGGAATGAGTGAATTGGGAAAGAAAGCCAATATATCTCCCATATCTATTAAAGACTTGGTTTATCCATCCACTTTATGGAATAAGGATTCCAATATAAGCACATCAACTGATAGTCAACCAAGTGATTCCGATAAAGACTATGAAGACTATGATGAGACTTGGAAACCGAATAGAAAAGACAACTCTTATCCATCTTCAGTTTATACAACTGCCCATCATCAACACATTGGATTGTCCCAATCTAGGGTTGGTAATCGATCCAATATATCCTTTCGTAGTATTCGAAATATAGGACCTGATGGTTCTTATTATGACTGTGATAGTTGTGCAGTGCCTGAAGGTGGTTGGCAAAAATATTGGAAAGACAAACAAAGCAAAAGAAGATCAACCCATAAGAGTGCTTCTTCTGATTCTTTTTCAGAAAGTTGTTGTTCAGATGAAGAAAATGATTGGTTAGGAGATACTTTGATATGTTGTGAAAAGTGTCCAATAACTTTACATTTTGCTTGTGTCTGTCCACCTTTGAATCAGAACAAGTTGAAAGATATTTGGTTATGTGCTTTATGTGAACAACAAAATCAATCTATAACAAAAACTCATCGAGATATTCCTCCCTTATTATTATTATCGTCCTTCAATAAGAAACATGATTCCTTAGATATCATTCAAACTCCTTCAGTCAATATTCAATATCAAATATCCAGTTGGAATTGGTTCAACGATTCTTTTTCATTATTGTATCATTGCTCTGATGGAAACCTAAAAAAGGAATCGAATCATAACCATAATCATGAGCATCATTCCTTGAAGCTCATCTTTTCTCAACTATCGCAATTAGTGAAAGATCGAAACACAACGGAATTTACTCCTCAAATGATCGTATTTAGTGCTTTTGATGGAATAGCTGCAGCTCGTTTGGCTTTGCAAAGACTAGGAATAGTTCATGTTCGTTATTATGCTTCCGAAATTGATTCAAAAGCTATACGAGTGGCTCATACTCGTTTTCCAGATATCATTTCGTTGGGTGATATTCGACAAGTAAGCAAAAGAGATATTCCTGAAGGTGTAGACTTTATGATTGGAGGAAGTCCATGTCAAAGTTTATCCCGATTGGGTCGTCAACGAGGTATTCAATCAGGTCCCAGTTCCTTATTCTTTGAATATGTTCGTCTATTAGAAGAATTGAAGCCTCGATACTTTTTATTAGAAAATGTGGCTTCCATGAATGCTCAAGATAGACAAATCATTACGGATGCTTTAGGAGTGGAGCCTATCTTAGTAGATGCGTCAAGATTCTCAGCTGGTATTCGATATCGTTATTATTGGACTAATATTCCTAATGCCAAGAGAATATGGACACTAGAAGAAAAACCAAATTGTTATTTACAAGATATTTTAATGGATCATGCTAGAGCACAATATCCTAAAGCTTATACTATAACTACCAATAATTATGCACCTCGAGCTTTTGATAATCGTTTCAATACTGTTTGGTATAATGACCAAGAAAAGAGAGGATTGAATATCATTGAAGCAGAAAGAATACTAGGGTAAGTTATGATAATCTCATCCCATTCATTCAATAAGGACTTTTAGGTTTCCCGATCGTTATACGGAATGTGTGATGGAATGTTCTTCAAGTTTTCGTACCCGTTGGAAATTATTGGGAAATAGTTTTTGTGTTCCAGTCATTGAAGCATTTTGTAGTTTTCTATTGGATAGTATAATAACTCATATATCTAACTGAAAGTATTACTTTCATTGTCGTTGTTTTTTACAATAAAACAAAATATAAGCTTCACTATTGAAGATTTGTTCTTCATCTTGTACCAATGTTACATGTTCATCACTACAATAATACCAACGATGCTCTTGTGGTGAACAACTTGCACGAATATATGCAATATAATGACCCCATTCTAAAGAACCCTGATGAACAACTATTCCTGACAAATAATAATCATTCTCTGTGGAATCTCCTTGTTGCTCTTGTGTATAACTGGAGAGATTCCATTCCAATGGAAATGACATTTTACCTGAAACCTTTTCAAAGTGAAAACCAACTTGTCGAAATCTCTTCAAATGGAAAATAATAACTTGACCAAGTTTCCGAAATAAAAAATGTTTCTTTGCTTTGGTACGAATATATCTCTGTTGAGAGGAAACGGAATCCTTATTACAATGTTTTTGGGTTGACTCACTTTGTTGTTGTCGATTGCAAGACTCACAATAGTAAGCATTCTCTCCTTGTAATATTTCTGGAGAAAGAAATGCTTGTAAGCTGTCTTGAATACTTGCATAAAGTGTTGTGGTAGTAGATGAAGAAGAGATAGGTTTGGTTAGACTCTTTGAAGAAGAATGAACAACTATGTCTTCACAAGTCAATAATACATATCATCATCCTATTCCATTTCTTTGTCTTATAAAACTTACCTTTTTGTTCTTCATTGAAATCCAAATCATTATTACTTACATAATCACTCCATTCTACATTATTGGATTCTTCAAATAAGGAGTCTAACCCTAAAGTAACTTGATGGATATCTTCTTCCCATAAGGAAATCATTTCTGGACTATTCTTCTCTTCTTCTTCGTTGACCATCACTTGTTCTGACAAGTTGCTTTCCATAGATAACATTGCATTATCTACAGATAATAGACTCTGTTGACTCATCATTGCTGTATCACAAATGATCTGATTTCTCGTACAACCTCCCGCAACAGAACAAGTCTCATCGGTATTTTGAGTTTCCAAACATAATGAAATGTCTAAAAAAGGTTCTTCAACGGTAGATATCGAATGACACTGTTCACATTCCACACAACTTTGCAACTTTCCTAGAAATACTTTTTCCATCCAAGACTCGTGGTTATGATTGGAGTCACTATGACTACTTGAATCACTGCTAGAATTATCCATATTAACAGTTGCTTCTTCCATTAAAGACTCCATCAATACTCTCAAGGCTTCATGAGCATCTTGTTGTTCATAACCACGAAAGCGACTGGAATACTTTCCCAAATGGTCCAATAACTTATGGGGTCGAAATATGCTTTGGTCTTGTAATAACCACATAGTATGAAAGAATACTCTCAAAGATAAAGTCACACCGTGTTCACCACTTGTAATAGATTGACCTAAAAAATAACTTCGAAGGGCAGGCAATCGACCAATATTTTGTAATACTGCGTTGAGGAAACTAACAAGAGAAATAGGATTATATGCCCACTTCTAATATATATATATAGTATACTTACCAAGTATTACCCAAATTCTTCAAACCTTTGGGTGTTATTATATTTCCTTTCCATTCTTCAGCAATAATTTCAGCCAATCTCGTCTTTCTTTCGTTTTCACTACATAGACAAGAAGAGTTGTGGTTGGAACAAGTTGTTTGTTTTAGGTTGGATGGTTTGGTATTTTTATTTCTTTTCTTGTTGGGTTGACGATACTTTTTCTGTTTTCCTTTAGACTTTTTGGACATTTCTTATCAAGAATAATAAAATATCGACGACCGCATTCCCATATCTAAAAAAAAAGAAGTAGAAGAAGAGAAAGAAAAGAATTTAGTATAAGAATGGAGTTGTCTTATCATCAAACGGAACAAAGAATACTTTATCAATGCCTAAAGTATATCATCATCAGTTGAATAATAATAATAATAATATGTATTTATATTTATATTGGGCATGAATGAAAACTGGAATCATATTCCAACTTCTCATCAAGTACCTCATACTCTTTTTCTAGTGGACTACTTTCTCAAGTTACCAACTCAGGTGTCAGCATTCTTTCTAACTCACTGGCACTATGATCACTATCGAGGACTTGGTTCCAACTTTCAACAGGGCTTCATTTATTGCTCACCTATTACTGCTCGTTTATTGGAAAGAATAACTCTAGTCGACCCCCAATGGATCGTAGCAAAGCATAATAATGAACCTTTTCTAGTAGATAAAGTACAAATAAGGTTTCTTGATGCCAATCATTGTCCAGGCTCTGTTATGATACTATTTCAAACATCAGAAGGAAGCAACTATTTGCATACGGGTGATATGAGGTTTACACAAGACTTGAAAAAGGAATTGATAGGTAAGTTGTCTTATTCTATAGATAAGATATGGAATAAGTTGTGTGATTAGTATTGAATAATATATGTCTGGATGCTGTTTATTTGGATACCACTTATTGTCATCGGAAATATCGATTTCCTAGTCAAGCACAGACCATTCAACGCATCGTTCATAAGATACAGAATATGAATAGGATTCCTTTTCAAGATTCCAACTCAAATAGAATAGATTGTACAAGTAGACATACTTTGTATTTGATAGCTACCTATAGTATCGGAAAAGAACGTATCATCGATGCTCTTATTCAAAATGGATATCGTATTTATGTGAGTCCAGACAAATGGAAAGTTTTACGTTGTTTAGAATTTTGGAACGAAGATATATTCAACGAATACTTTACGACAGATCCTGCTGCTAGTCCTATTTGGTTGGTGGGATGGAATAGAGTGGCAGAAAGTGTGCCTGGTAGATTGCTTCCCAATTTTGAAGCTTTAGAAGAAATGTTATATATGGCCAATCATTGTAGAAATAGACAAGTATTCTCCCATCATCATTATTCTGATTCTTTCCATCCAAATGGCTTATTACAAAGAGTAATGGCATTGGTTCCTACTGGTTGGACTTGGCATAGCAATCGCGGAGAATATTTTCAAGAAAAGGATCATTCCAGATTATCTATATATGGAATACCTTATAGTGAACATAGCAATTATGATGAATTGTACCATTTCATTGCTTGGTTAAGACCCAAACAAGTTATTCCAACCGTATCATTCTCTTCGAAAAGATCAAAACATCCCTTTCATCATTTATTGGCAGAAACACAAGTCAAAAGAGCCTTTTTACAAAAATGGCTGAAAGACTCAGTGGATAACGAAGACCCATCGACCCAACAACAATATAACAAACCCAAGTTGGTTAAAGGAGATATTCTTTCCTATTTCAAAGCATCTAATAGTTGATACAATTCATCAACTTTTCCAAATTGTATTGGATTTGTTTTCCATATCGAGAACGACTGAGAGTATTCCAATACTTTTCAATGCATTCTTTCAGTTGTATCTTTTGAGGTTGAGAAGCAACTTGTAACATTCTTTGAATGACATAATTTCCATAAGCATCATGTAATAGATTACCTATGTTGGAACATTCTTGGGCAAGCTCCTCTATCATTTCCCAACGTTGAGTAGCTTCAGCAAGTTGTAAACATTTTTCAGTAATGTTGGAAGAAAACTTTTCCATAGACATTTCATACCAATGACCTTGAAGTTTCTTCATAATGTCGTGAATATATCGGGGATTTTTGCTATCCAATATATGTTGTACTACATAGTTACCAAATGCATCGTGTATTAATACAAAGATATGCTGAATAATGTTGGTTGCTATATCATCTAGTTGAGAAGAACAAGCAAAATCCATACTTGTTTGAATCATACAACAGCCTTGTCGATGAGTAGCCAATTCTAGAAAGTTTTCTTGTATAGTATGATAGAGAAATTGATTATCTTCACTTGACCAATAAAGAAAACAATGTTGAATGACATGAGCTCCATTCACATCTTTAAACAAAAACTTGGCTACACTTGACAATATCGATTGTAAATAGCTTATACAAACATTTCTATTCTCATTTTCTTCTTCACCACAAGAAGATATCATCACTTGAACCACTCGAGTACTATAAGTATGTAATGCTGCTTTAGGTAATATATCCCAATGACGTTGTAGAATATCCATTCGTTGTTGCTCAGATAAGCATTTCCATACTTGTTGACATAGAAAATTCGCAATAGGATGTTTCATCCATATTCCAAAATGAAGACAACAAGTTTCCATGATTTCTTGAGAAGCCAAAGAGGAGCCCAATTGTAGTTGATGTAATAATAATTGACAGCCATGTCTTTGTTTAACCAGTTTACAAATATCCGAACGAGTAATAGTCGGAGTAGAAGATGAATGAATAGATAAGTTTTGAATAGAATTGTTATTCAGTTGGGAACACAAGTCCCTATTTGATAGATTATATGTTTCTTTGGATATGTAACGAGGGCTATGAATAGTGTCAGATGATTGTCTTATATCATCATAAGATGGAGAAGAGTCCTTTTTCCTTAAGGAAGAGTAAATGAAAAGGTTTTGGTGTGAAACTTGCCTTATGGAATTGGCTCCATAAGAATATTCATATCCATCAGTAAGACTAGGGTTTGATACTTTAGGCTTCCACTGAGATAACCATTGTAGGTCATTGAAATAAGAAGACTCCCAACCTAACTGAGATGAAGTGCTATCATAATATTCCATATAACAAGGAGAATCTGACCAAGCTAGAAAGTCTTGAAATATTTCTGTATGTTGTTCTTCCATAAACGAATGATCAATAGAAAAGAATCACAACCCCAATGAATGATACATAATCTCCACATAACAATCTCTCATTCTTTGGAGCTCTGCTCTCCTCAGCACACACGGATGGCCGACAAAGAGGAGAGAGACTGATCCACTGATTCAAATGGAAACTATAGCAACAATCCATTCTAGGAATGATATGCTTATATATTTCTTTATCAATTTTTGTCATTGAAATAGAAATATAAAGCAATTGAAATAAAAAAAAATTTTATTTGGACATAATACGACTGACTATCCATCATAGATTGAAAGAACCATTTTCACCATTTTATTTTCTTCTTCTCAACGTGTAAGAGCAATATGTGGATACCTCTATTCATAACTGGTTTTTGGAATACCAATACATCTTCATCTCACTTATGGAAAACAAAATATACAAAGGGATGGACAACTCCTTTGTATTTCTCTAAAGTGGACAAGTCGTTCTTTGCTCCTCGTTTAGCTTCTATTCAAGCTGTTCAAGGAGATTTGGATAATATCGCCCCTCAATGGAACGACTCTTCATTAGAAACAACTCTTCCTATAACTACCAATGAACGTCCAGCTATTCCAAGACAACACTTCAGCCACCTCGGAGACACTTTAGATCCTAGTTTGATGGACTCCGTCAAGAAACGAAAACAGAGAGCAAAAGAAGAGCCTTTATGTATTGTTGTTATTGGTGCTAGTGGAGACTTGGCAAAGAAGAAAACTTTTCCTGCTTTGTTTTCCTTGTATTATCACGATTTGTTACCAAAGGACTTTCTCATTGTAGGTTATGCTAGAAGACAAATGACTCAAGAAGAGTTTAGAAACTCTATTATGGAATCATTGACTTGTAGAGTTATCGATGGCCCACAGTGTCAACGAAAGATGGATGAGTTTCTACCCAAATGTCACTATATGTCAGGTATGTATGATAGAACTGAAGATTTTGTTCGATTGGATCAATTTTTGAACAACTTTGAACAATCATTTCCCAATACTCGAGTGGATAGACTATATTATTTAGCTGTTCCTTCTCAAGTATTTGAAAATGTGGTACATCATGTTCATGAAAGCGGAAGAACGCAACGAGGTTGGAATCGCATCGTCATGGAAAAACCATTTGGAAAAGACATTACTTCTTATCTACAGCTTCGAAATAGTCTTCGCAATTGTATTTCTGAAGATGAAATATACCGAATTGATCACTATTTGGGAAAGGAGTTGGTACAAAATTTGATGGTTTTACGGTTTGCCAATTATCTATTTGAGCCTTTATGGAATCGAGACCATATAGCTTCCATTCAAATTGTGTTTAAAGAGAATTTTGGTGTGGAAGGAAGAGCTGGATATTTCGATGAATATGGAATTATTAGAGATATTATGCAGAATCATTTATTACAAGTGATGGCATTGTTGGGTATGGAACAACCAGTAACTTTACATGCGGAAGATATTCGAGATGAAAAGGTAAAATTTCTACGCTCTATACGTCCTTTAAAAGCATCAGACTTTGTACTTGGTCAATATAGAGACCGTCAGGTGGGTGTTTTTTGCATCTTTTTCTATACATTTCGATAGAGTTGAATGTTGGATGGTTGGTTGAATAGAATCCTCAACGTTCTTATTTATCGGAACCTGGAGTAATGAATGATAGTCATACTCCTACTTTTGCTGCTTGTGTATTTCAAGTGGATAATAGAAGATGGTCAGGTGTACCATTTCTTATGAAGGCTGGTAAGGCATTGGATGAACGCAAGGTAATAGGAAAATTCAAGCTTATTTTATTGATTTGATGAAAAGGGAATATATATATATATATATAGGCAGAAATACGTATTCAGTTTCAATCTGTTCCTGGTGGACTATTTTCTCAAGTAGTTTCGTCACATCTTCCACATAATGAATTGGTGATTAGAGTACAACCAGATGAAGCCATTTATATGCGTATTCTTAGCAAGGCACCGGGTTTTACTTCGCGTTTGGAAGAGGCACGTTTGAATCTCTTCTATCGTACGGCTTGGGAAGATAGTAAAGATATACCTGATGCCTATGAGAGACTTATTCTGGATGTCATACATGGTGAGAAAAGTTTGTTTATTCGTGATGATGAATTGGAAGTGGCTTGGAATATATTTACTCCTTCATTGAAGGAAATGGAAATGGCTCAAGATTCGTGGAAACCTATTTTGTACGATTACGGTGGAAGAGGTCCAATCGAAAGTGATTATTTGGCTGCCAAATATGCAGTGCAATGGAGTGAAGGTGATTGATGTTCATGTAAGGATAATATAGAAAGAACTGGAATCCATTCAGTTGCAATGGCATTCATGGATTCTTCATGTTTCTATATAAAATAGTTGTTCGTCTATTTAATGCATTATCAATGGAATACTAATCAGAAGCATCTCGAATACCATCTGCCATTATGGAGAACGTGGCTTCTGCTTCAGGTAAACAAGGTGAATCATATATCTTGCATATACGATTCTCTGCTCTTCCTTTTCTCAAATACAATCTGGTTTGAGATGCATGTGCAATAATATTTCCTCCAATTGGCTTTTTAGGATCAACAGCAAACATAGCACCACCATCCACTTGTGCAACTACTTGATTAGTAATAACTACAGCAACACCAAATTCGTCTGCAAGTTTTTGTAATGCTCGTAAGAACCTTGCCATATGTTGTTGTCTGGCTGCAAGTTCTCCTCTTCCAGAATAATCGGTACGATATAAAGCAGTAGCAGAATCCACTATAATAAGAGCATATCTAAATAATATAAGCAATATTCAAAACAGAAAACAAGTTTCATTCCCTACCTGCTTTCTGCCATCAATGCACATGCTTGAGTTAACAACTGAAGTTGATGATCGGAATTATATGCACGTGCAACAGCAATGTTGTTCAAAACATCTTCACTATTCAAACCATATCGTTCCGAAATGGCCACAATCCTTTCAGGTCTAAATGTACCTTCCGAATCTATGTACAACGCTTTGCCTTCTCCACCTCCATTTTCGATAGGTAACTGACAAGTAACACAAAGAGTATGACATAATTGTGTTTTTCCGGTACGAAACTCTCCAAACAGTTCAGTGATAGAACCAGTTTCTATTCCTCCAGCCAACAGGTTATCCAATTCCTGACTTCCGGTGGTCAATGAAATAATTTCTTGTCTAGTCTTGTGATATTCATAGGCAGTAGTGAAACCCATATTTACTAATTTGGCACACTCGTTGATAATCTTTTCTGCTTTGGCTTCACTTATCCCCTTGACGTCTAGCAATGTCTTTTTCGTCGTATAAGCAACAGATTCTATGGTATGATATCCAGCATCTTGTAGCTTTTTGATATCAGTTGAAGAGATTCCAACTTGTTCCAACTTTTGTATTGCCAAGGGTCCTAAGAACTCTTCAGAATCTTCCTCCGACTTGATAGGCTCTTGTAGTAAGGACTTGCTCATTGCAGCTTGGTTGTGAGAGATGCTGGACCAAATACAAATTTGAATGAAAGTTGGAATAGCCCGCCTACAAATTCTCATTTGGGACCATTTGTCATTCATTGTTCATTTTTTGATGATGTTGTTTGTGGCCATTCCTCATCCATTTTGGTTTACAGTGAGAACCAGGAAATACAGTCTGGCTGTATGTGCTTGTCAACGAGACAGTGAACGAGACCCAAATGAGTCTAGTCATTCTGAAAACATACCGCCCCACCACTCTGGAGAGTCGTTTGTATCTCAACGCTCATATCACGAAATCCCTTCAACCAGTGTGGATTGGGACTTTGAATGGGTGAAATATGTGGCTACTGGAAAAATAGAAAGTAAAAAGTCCAAGCCACATACTCTTTGGGGAACATTGAAAGGACAACGTGCCAAGTTTCCGATGAAGCCGCCGCTCAATGTTCCCAGGTTGTCTCTGTTGGCGAAGGATTGGAGATTTTGGATAATTACACTGTTGACTGTATCTATGATTATGGCAGCTATTCAACACTCTCATAATCCTATGACAGGGTCAGGGTTTATATAAGAGGATAATAGAATAGGAAAGAGTTTGTGGTGTAAATCCAAAAGGCATAAAAATCCCATTCAGAGATAATGAATCGAAGAGTTGTGTGGATAAGAGGAAAGAATGACACTGTCTAACAGAAAACCTTTTCACTGGTTACATACGTGTTGTTTTCAAAGTAATGAGTTATTCAAACCAAGAATAACATGCACTAAAGAAGGAATATGTTACAAGTTTGCATCTCGCAAGTCCGAGAGTTGCTTTTCTCGACATAACAAGAAGTGGCCAAACAACCTAAAATTGGCGCGCGCTTTGCGGTGTCTTTTTTCTACCAACGATGTTCAACCGATATATTTGACGCAATCTCTATTGGCATATACACCTTCGGCATCACTATTACAGTTTACTAGCAGTTTAAGTGGACTAGCAGTGCTTGCTTTGGTTATCATCGTTCATGAAGCTGGACATTTCTTCGCTGCAAGACTACAAGGCATTCGAGTGAAAAACTTTTCCATAGGTTTTGGTCCTTCTTTTCTTTCGTACAAACCGAAAAACTCGGAAACTGAATTCTCCTTGCGCATGATACCATTGGGAGGTTTTGTTTCCTTTCCTGAAGAAACCACAAAGGACGAGTCAACAGGAGAAACACAAAAGTTATCAGATCCTAACCTTCTTTCTAACAGACCTGTTGGACAACGAGCTATTGTAATATCTGCGGGTGTAATTGCCAATATCTTTTTTGCTTGGATTTCATTGTTCAGTTCCATCAGTATATTCGGTATGGCAGAACCATCCTTTTCACCTGGAGCAGTTGTTATGAATATTCAGAATTTGGATGGACCAGCAAGTCAAGCTGGTTTACAACCCAACGATGTCATTGTGGAGCTACAAGGAGAACCCATACCTGCATCTGGTATGTCAGCAAAGATATTGGCTGATAATATTCGTTCAAGTGGAGGTAAAGTATTACAGATTACTATCAAAAGAGGAAATGAATATCGCTCCATTGAATTGAAGCCTGAATGTTGTAACAAAAATGGAGAAGCTACTTTAGGAGGAGTAGAGTTGATTCCCAACATGAAAATCAGTCGACAGCGTCCCACGAGTATATGGAATAGTATTGAGTTGACTCATTCGGAATTTGTACGGTTTTCAGGTCAAGTTTTTGGTGGCTTGTATCGTCTGGTTACTCATTTTCGTCAATCTTCAAGTGGTTTAGCTGGACCCATTGGAGTAGTAAGTATGGGAGCTGAATTGGCTAAGAACGATGCGGCTTCCCTTTTTTCATTTGCTGCAGCCATATCTATCAATTTGGCTTTGATCAACTCCCTTCCTATACCTGCTTTGGATGGTGGTCAAATGTTATTTTTGTTATGGGAAGCCATTCGAGGAGTACCTTTACCGTTGCGGGTTCAAGATGCTGTAAATAGGACAGCATTATTCTTGTTTCTAGTTGCAAGTGGGTTTCTCTTAATAGGAGATTTGGATCGGTTGCATATTTTGCCATCGATATTCAAATAAATGGACTCAACATTTTTCTTTCATAATGGCTTTCAAAGTTTTTGGTTTTCTTGGTGGATGTTTGTGATACCAAAGACGATATGAAAAGTCACCTTTCTGTTGTGTTCAAACGATATATGAGTATTCTTTCTCGAAAACATATTACTTGGAAACCAGTTGGTTATAATAATAATAATAATAATAGTGGAATAGTTTCCCATTCGTTAAAGAAAATAACGTGGACAAAAGAACGACCCAAAGTCGAGCCATCACAGCAAGTCCAAGTTACTTATGAACCGATACCAACTAAGAAACCAACGAAACCTCATAAAGCTTCCATGTTGGTAACCACCAAGAGAAAGCAAAGCAACGACGATTTTACGGTACATTTCGCCAACACTGTGGATGTAGAAACCAAAGAAGACTTGTCTCATGTAGAACGACCTGTTCACCAAGAAGAAGAAGACTCGATGATTTATCAAACACTTTACAGAGGAGACAATATAATGCAATTGACGGAAAAGGAATATCTCAAGTTTCGAGGTATCGTTGGGAAATTGTTTCGATCAGGAGAGAAAGACCAACGTCTTTTATTACCTTGTGCAGTTACAGAACCTTTTATGGAGACTTCCATCGTCAGTGTTCCGATAGAGCAACAAAAGACTGCAAGTGTCGCTGTGATTGGACTACCTAATGCAGGCAAATCTACGTTGTTGAATAGACTTTTAGGAAACAAAGTAGTTGCAGTATCTAGAAAGAGAAATACTACCAGGAAAACTCATAGTGTGTATGTGACTAGAGATGAAAAGCAATTGTTGATTTACGGTAAGTAGATAGATTCTCATTATTTCCCATGTGAGATTCAATTGTTGTTATTGAGATACTCCTGGGATGATTGGTAGTGATGATGCTGCTAAAGTTCATCATGAACGAGCATTTCTTGTAGCTGCTTGGAATGCTGCTTGGAATGCTGATGTATGTTTTGTTATTGTGGATTGTAGTTGTAGAATTGCTAGAGAAGCTACCAAAAGAATGTTAATAGAACTGAAACAACGGATGGAGGAACAAGGAAAGGAATTTATTAGGAATATATTGACTCAACAAGAAGCCGAGAGTATTCAAAAGAATGAAGTTAGAGAAGAGCAAATAAGAAGCAACAACAAACAAGTTTGGATTTTGGGTTTGAACAAAGTAGATCACTTAGCCAATCGCCAGTATCTTCCGGATATGGCAAAGGAATTTTATGATACTTTTCCATTTGCTATGAGCTTTATGATATCTGCCAAAAAGGATAAAGGAATCGATCACGTACGAGACTTTCTTTTTGAAATGTGCAGACCTGGTCCTTGGTTATCACCTCTTGCTATTCCATATGGTGGTTCTTTTGTAGATATGATGGAAGATATACTTCGTGAAAAATTGTTGCATTGTGTACATTTTGAAGTTCCTTACCATGCCAAGTTTCAGTTGGAGAGTTGTAAACTGATATCTTCTGGAGTCATTGCTATTGAAGAACGAATGCTGTTGGAACGAAAGTCTCAAATAGGAATGGTGTTGGGTCCTCGAGGTTCCAACTTGAAGTGGATACAACGAGCAGCGGAAAGAGATCTCAGTCAGTCCTGGAAGTTGCCAGTTATTTTGTATTTGAATGTCAAGTCGGAATCATCTTGAATCGATTATTATTCACTAGAAATGATATGTTGAAAGAGAAGAAGAAACAATCACGTTTTATGCAAGCATTTTTATAGTTGCGACATAATATGTCGATGATAATTATGCTCTTTCAATGCTTTGGTCAACTAACAACTCATAAAGAATATAATTGATCACTTGGAAAATAGTCTACAAAAAGAATAAAATTACGATGAAAATAATTTTGCATCCACTCCATGCCGAATGCAATATTCAGCAAAACTAAAGTCCTCATCTTCCAAAGTTCTCTTGTTGGGTTCCGGAATAACCCACCATGTAAGTAAAGCACCGAGTATACTAACACCACCAGCAATAATAAATACTGCTCGAACACCATTATTCCCACTAAACGCATGTTCAATGGGACCCAAGAATTGCGTTCCAATAGCAGCACCAGCCTTTCCGAAAGCAGCTGAAATGCCCGCACAAGTCGTTCGAACGGGTGTCGAATAAAGTTCAGCGGCAAGAAGAAAAGTTGTTGTATTCGAACCAAATTGAACAAAGAATAGGAAAATTCCATACATAAGGATGAATGCTCCAGGTTGATTCTCTAACTGATTGATAAGTCCACCAATCAGAATCCCACATAACCCAACACAAGCAAATCCAATTATCTGCAACCTTTTATGTCCAATCTTGTCAACCGTCAATGCAGCGACATAATATCCCGGTAACGTTAAAATCGCAACTAAAAGCGTAAACATGGCAATGTCTAGAACAGTTTTATCACTACCAGCAACAACACCAGTAATGATTTCGGAAGAAAATATTCCATTTGAATATTGTACTATATCATTCAAGAACCAACAGCCTGCAGTTCCAACTAGACGAATCCAATAATAACGAAAAGTAACTAACATAGGCACTTTCCGACGCTTATATCCTGCAATACGAAACCTCAACGAGTCTCTCATTCTAGTTCTCAAAACAAAAACAGGAATGATCGGCAGAGCACCAAAAGCCAAAACAAAACGCCATACAGCATGAAAGCCTGAGGTATTGTCGACATGAAAATTACTTTTGGTAAAAAGCAAAGCTATAATAGCCACAACGATGCCAACAACTTGACCAACGCCCTGCATTGAGAAAACAAATAATACAGTTTTCCCACGCTTCACTTTTGCGTCATCCCCCGCTTCTGCAGCAGAAACTGAAGCACAAGGATACTCACCACCTATACCAACTCCAAGAAAGCCACGAACCACTACAAGCATCCAAAATAAGCCATTTATACTTCCGTTTGCACCGAAAGAAACAGAACTAAGAACAGGACCCAAAAACAATATGGTAGAAGTCACCAAAAGTCCGGCCTTGCGACCAACTCTGTCACCAATAAGGCCAAAGAAAAGCTGACCAATAATAGCACCAACTATAGCGGAGTTGCCGATTCGGGAAATCATGCTACTGTTCTGAGAGAAATAAGTAGGATACTCTTTCTTCCATAACTCACTCAAGACGTTGACTACATACAAGTCATAAGCCTCAGAAAAGAAGCCTATACCTGACACTATAGTGCTAATAGTAGGCGAACGGAACCCACCATACAGACGAACTTCTTCTTCTCTATACTGTTCAGCTTGATTATCTTCACTATACCTTGCAGAAGCAAGTTTTTGGTTCACTCGATCATAGATATTCTTCGGGGGTTCTTCTTCTACAACTTGTATGGAACTTCCTTCGCTTTCCGTCATAATAAGACACAACAAGGCCCACCACCACACTCTCGAAATCACCAATTCTATTCTTCAATGGTTTACTTGGAAGAATGGCCAGTCTTTTGGTCCACTGTCCAAAGGATGTATTTCAATAAACCAAACAAGGTACGCAAATAAGAGACTTTCTTTGCTGCAATAAACAAGAGTAGACTAGATATTCTGTGAAGTATCGAAGCAAGGATGGAAAAATAACGCTTAAAGTAACTGATGATCAAGAGGTAAGTTTCGTTATCGATTAGTGTCCAGCAAGTCTTAGTTTCATATAGTGTTTACAGTTTATGCTACATCCAAACCAAGATTTAGAAAAGTTGAAAACTATCAATGCCTGGTTTCTGGCCAACATGTCTACTTTATCGACTGAAAAGAGTGCGGTGTAGACGTTTGACTTTTATAAACTTTTTGTATTTCTACAAGTTACCGAAGGAACCATACATACCAGGTTTATCTCCTCTTTAGCACACCACGTCGAGTGTGTTTTTCTTTGAAGGATGGTGCGAAAGAGAATAACAAAAAGGTCGACTTTTGCTTAGAATTCTAGTTCAAGCAAAATAAAACTTGTTGGGTTTGCAATGGTTGGATTTTACTTCCCATAAAAGAGGAAAAGTTTAGAGTTCTTTATCTCCTTAAAGAAATGCTTTGTTTTCCAAAAAAAAATGCTCAAAGAAGTTGGCGCCAAATGAAGAATTTTTATACATTTGCTCATAAATATTGGCACACAGTAAAGACTGCTGAAATCCACCTTCAAGACAAAGAACTAACTTTTGTTGTATGTAGTGTACTTTATTATCTTATCAGTCATGAGGTAAGTTAGTTGAAACCAAGTTGCAAATTTTTATTGACAATAGGACTTGAGGATGTTTGGAGTGACGTAGTGTCTCGAATTTCAAAGGAAACAAACGAAAAGTTGGAAGATATTTTTAAAAACTATCTGATCAAAGAGAACAAAGACATTCAGTCAGTTGGTAAATGGTTGAACCAAACAGCTGCTTGGGAAAACTGGTTTGCACCTCTGCTGTCTCAACTAAACAACCACACTTCTTCGTTGTGCTTGGAAGAAGTGTATCTATTTCCAGCTTGCTTCGTATTGCTTCATAAAATCGAGTTCAACAAAGAATCTTTCCAAATTTGCGTCATGAAAGATCATTATAGTCCCAATAATGCCTTCCATATTGTGAAGGAACTTGTTGAAAGAATTGCATCTCATCTACAAGCTTTGGAAAAACCGGCTTCTTGGAAATTGACCTTATTCATCAATTTATTGCGAAGCATGATGTGCTATCAAAATATCGATTTCATATATTCTATTATTGCTCCAGTTTTACAAAGGGTGGCACTGAGTGACTTGAGAATTTTCCTATCAACAGAACCGAATCGAAAAGAATGGAATAAATTTCTGGAGACTTATAGAATACCCATCGCCAATGCTACAAAGAATCATCAATATTCCTTTATCAAGTTGACATTATCTCATTTCATTGACTTGGTTGGCGTAGTAACTGTGGCCTCTCCGGAAAATCTTCTGGAAAACGAAGAGGAATTGGAGAATATGAGCACTTATTTGCTTTGGTTTTATTTTTCTTTGCAAAACTCTGCCATGGGATTGTATTTAGCCATTTTTATCATTTGCTTCTCGGATTCAGAATGCAGTGACTCGATAGATCCTTGGAAGCATTGTTTGCAAAAATTGAAAGAGTTTCTGATGTTCCAATGTAAAAAGTATAGCATATCTTTAGGTAGATGTTGGAAATTATGTTTCCTTGTTTTGCTTAGAATTTTGGAGCTTATGAGAAAGCGCAGAAAAGGGCCACCGTGTCCATCCGAAGTTTCTTTACGTCAATTGATATTAACACATTTATCATTTTGGAAGAAACTTACTGGCACTGACTGTTGTTTTCCAGATATTTCATACTTGAATGCTCTAATGGGTAACAATCTTTGTATGATTCCTCCTTCGTGCTGCTATCCTTCTACGATAAGTTATCTCTGTTCTTTGTTCACTATTTGCAAAGCAGAGTTGGCATACAAAATGTACTCAGCATTGAACGTACATAAGGAGAGGATACGAACAGAACGAAGTTTTATCTTTTCTGTTACTCATTTGGAGCAAAACAGACTTTTAAGCCGTCAGATAGAGAAAGGACATTTGCTGTTTTCCTATAATGGCCAAGTGCGTTTCCTCGGAAGTGATGATGAACTTGCCAGAACCAACTCTTTTGGAAGATTGGGTGCCTTATTCCTGTCTAATGCAATGGATAACTTTTTGGATAGTAGCGACTCTTTGCATTGGAATGATATTCAGTGGATTGGCCTTTGTTATTCTGCAAGATGGAAGAATGACAAGCAAGGAAACCAAAGTTCTTTGCGGAAATTTTCTGTTACATTTGTCTCCAATGATCGGATGGACTGGATAGAGACTGAAAAGGCAATGTATTTGATATGTTTGGAAGCTCCAAACGATATACATCAAGAAGTTTTGGAAGAGCTTTATGATTGGTACACTTTGTCGATTGCCAATTTGGATGATGACCAACACCAAGAAGTAATACCCGAGTTTTTCTCCAGTATTCTGACGCAGGATTCTTTTTCGTTATCGGAAAGCAAAACATTAGATATGCTCGTAAATGATGAAACTCATCAAGAAATATGTCTGTATCCGTTTATACCCGATGCACAAGGACTTCTTTCTAGTCTTGCTTCCATTATCCCTGGCTTTCAACTTGAGGTAGATGAAAATTTTCGTTCTTTCGTTTATCTACGCAAATTAGGTGATACTTTTACAAATACATCTTGTTCTTTTGTTGTTTCCGACAAGTTTCATATACCTCATGAAACATCATTTGCCTATTTGTACGAGGCTCAAAAGGCAGCACTTTGTGCAAGTTGGTTGCAACGACTGGTTCTTATTCGAGGACCTCCTGGAACTGGCAAAACAGAAGTTGCTAATTGCATCATTCGATTCTTCTTGCAAAATAGATTTGTTGACAGGCAGCAGGAAGATAAGAATGCTTCATCTTCTGTTCTGATGATCGTAGCTCAATCAAATGAAGCAGCTGATCATTTGGCAAAAAAGGTTCTTCAGAAATGTTATCCTAAAGAACATTGCTACCCAGGAATAGACTTGTGTACTCATCGTTCTGTCACAACATTACATCCTCTCCTTCAGCCCATCTTAAGATTGGGAAGGCAGTCCAATGACAAGGTTATCAGACAGCTTACATTGGAAGGTCATTATTATGTGATGAAGGAGTTCCGGGACAAATTGTGGAAACACCTGTCAGAGTTTGCCAAGGAATATGGACAATATCAGCATTCTAAAGAGGACAATTGGTTGACCAATCTTTGTGAGGCCATTGAAGACTATGAAACATGTCCCTATCTATTGAGTAAATACTTGGATCAGATAGGTTTATCTTGGTTAGAAGCAACGATTCAGAAATACTCCAGCAAAGAAGAAATGGAAAGGAGTCGAAATTGGAAGCGAATAGCTTTACTGAGAGATTGCATTTTGCTTACAAAATGTGATTCTCTACTACGAAGTTTTCATCCACGTTTTTCTGTTTATTTCAAAGAGTTGCTTTCTCATTGTCAGTTGGTAATAACTACCTTTGCATCTTTAATGAAATATGCAGAACACTGGCCTTCTGATGGACATACCAAAATAGTGGCTGCTATAGTAGAAGAAGCTGCTCTAGTTACGGAATGGAATCAGTTTATTTTATTTGCCAGATATCAACCAATACGAACGATTCTGATTGGCGATGATTTGCAGTTAGCTCCTATCGTCCAGTATCGCTCCGCAAACAATGACATTTTGGAACAGCTATCTTCACATCAGGTTTCATTATTTTCCAGATTGATTCATTTGAAGTTTCCTTTTATTCAGTTGGAAGAACAAGGACGAGCTGCTCCTTGCATTGCTGATTTGTATCGATTTCGTTATCAAAAAACAGAAGCCACTTATCATACGGATGGAGTAACATTCAAGCAAAATGTATTGAATGATATTTATCAAGATAATCATTTCTGGATGCCACAGGGCATTTGTAGTAGAGTTTTATTTCTTGATGTTTCCAATCCAACCATCAACGAATCGTCTCTCTCAGATTCCCCTTATGAAAATCCCATGGAAGCCAAAGCCATTGCCCAGTTTTTGCACTATTTGCATTATTGGAATGTTTCTTGGAATCGTATTGCTGTGTTGACTCCTTATAGGAAACAGAAGAAATTACTGAAACATGTCTTTCTAGTTTACTTTCAAAGTTTTGCTTCAAATGAACAACATTCAACAACACTGCATGATCAACCAGTATCCATCTTCACGACGGACGAATTTCAAGGCAAAGAAAAGGACATCATTCTTATCTCATTGGTGTCAAGTTCTCTGTTAACGGGCCACTTGAGAGATGAAAGAAGAATCAATGTTCTTACGAGTCGCGCTCGATGTGCAATTTATTTATTCGGCAATTATTCTGTGTTCCACAAACATCAAGAATGGACGACCTTATTGGATCAAATATCGTCATCACATTTANGTGCACCAATTTCTCCATCTCAACATTCTTCCTTCTTGACACCTCTCTGTAGAAATGCAGGAGACTCGCAATCTATCTGTGTTTGGAAACGCAAAGATGTATTCGTATTACTCGAAGAATGGTTAAAAGAACAAAGCAAGAAACAAAAGGAACCTTTGGAGCTATTGTTCTCTCAATGGAAGATATAATTCCATTGCGTATATCAATGTTATGATTAGGAAACCGTTGCAACTTTATTCATTTTTCTCTTCTCAAACCAAGACTCCATCACATCTCGACATTCACTTAATATAAATACTCCAAAAACTATTCGCATGCCTCGTGGAATCATTCCATCGTACAAAACCCGCCAACTTCCAGCTTGATCCTTCATCTGTTTACATACAGACAACCAAGAATATGAAAAATGTTTCGAATTATCCAAAGGAGGCATCATTGCTTGGTATCTTGTCTTGATGGTATCAAAAGGTTGCGTACCAACTGCTGCTACTAGACCAGCTGCAACACTAGCAACCATCGAAGCAGCCAATGGTTTATCCCCAAACTTGTCAGGAAAACTTTTCATTAATTGTTCTTTCCATAGTGGTGTCAAACCTAAATAGCCACATACATAAATACTGTCCCTAAGAAATGCCAACGAAAATCCTCGAAGAATTTCTTTTCGAATAAGAATATCTTTGGCCGTTGGAACCAACGCACTTCCCAGACGTTGTTGACGTATAAGTATCAATTCTGCAGGGCCTGAAATAAGAGCACTCAAACCACCAGCAGTTGCAGCAATTCCCAGCTTTTCCCAGTCACCCAAAGGACGTTCACCCCCTAATTCCATAAACTAGGTTCTTCTTTTAGAAATAAAGCAAATAAAAAAGCTTACCTTTACTCAACCACTTGGTCATCATACCATTTAATGCAAACTGTACAGCTGTATAAGGCGCCATGGAAGCAATGTTGATGGTGAGACCTCTATAAAAGAACTTGGGATGGAACATGATAGGTCTCTTGTCTTGGATAGCATTTTTCCAAGCTATTTCTGGCTGTTGAATAGTTACTTCAACAGCACCTGCAATGGCACCAGCAGCAGCATATTCATATGCTGATAAAACAGGTCTTTCGCCGGATGACATTCTTCTTCAAAAATAATTCAATTGAACGTTCCCAGTCATTTGGACAGATGAAGATTCCATTCACATTCCTCTTCAAGCTGAAAGATTCTCTTTCCTAGTTTCATTCGCGAATATTTTTGTAGCTCTACATAACTGAGAACCTTGTTTTTCAAAATGAAAACCAATCTGGCGACCCAGCTTTTCAAGTGAAGCTTCCTTTTCATGGAAACAAAATGTCAGCTTACTCAAACTCTCCTGTTTCGCAATAACTATCAATCTTCTAAATAATTCATTGGCAAGGGTATTGTTTTCTTTCATGATCAATGAGATGACTCCTTCCTCTTTAGTACCTTTGCGTAAACAAAGGGATGCAAAACCATGAAATTCCATTTCGCCACTTTCTGAGTCCATCGTTTCAGCTACTAATGTTATAGTGGTAGAATAATCTGCATGACAAATGGAAACCACTCGCTCATTTAATCGTTGCAATGTAACATCCTTCCAACGATTGTCATGGGACAACATTTCAAACAATTCCATAGGAACATCTTCAGGTAACGTAGCTGTCATCAATAATTTAGAATCCGATATACTGCTTTCGTTCCTTTTCAGTTTAAGAATCAGTTCCATAAAACGCTTTAAACGATGTACATCTTCAGGTCGAATGGGCCTCACTAAGAAGGGCGGAGTTCCCATGGAATCTCCGGGCCAAGAGAATACATACTCACTAGGATAAGGACGAATAGCTGGGCTGGGAGTTAACTGAGGAGAATGTTTGCTAACTTCATGAAGCCAGACACGAGCATCAGCTACTAAGATAGTTTTCGGACCAACTATAATCGGATTGATCTCACAAGCCTTGACAAACGCAGCTTGTTCCGTGACCATTCTTGAAAAACGTTCGACAATTTCTTCGATCTTCCTGGTATCCATTCCCAAAGTCTTACGTGCAGCTACCAACGCTCCATAAATTTTGGTTCTCGACATCATCTGACGCGCTAAATGAGTATTCAAAGGAGGTAATGCTATTGCAAAGTCTTCGTAAACATGAACAAGGCTACCACCTGTGCCAAACTGAATCACAGGTCCAGCTTGTGAGTCAATCATAGAACCCAACATTACTTCATGAGTATCCCTGGGTTTATCAATCATCCTATAAATAACAACTCCCTGAAAATGTTGTCTTCCTCGAAGACGACCACAGCTCTCACGAATGGAGCGGAACGCATATTTAACTGCTTCCGAAGAAGTCAGATTCAATTTCACTCCTCCTACTTCGGACTTGTGAATAATCGTCTCTGAATGAAGTTTCAAAACAACAGGGAATCCTAATTCCTTGGCCATTTCCACAGCTTCTTCTTCTTCCTTTGCTACGCGAGTATCGACGACGGGAATTTGATAGATTTGCAACTATTTATAAAAAGAGAATATTCAGCAAGATTTTGAAACGACTGAAAATTTTTAACCAACCAATTTCTTGCTCTCTATTTCCGTCATAAGAGACCTTCCTTGTTTCTGAATGGAACGTAACATGGCTTCCGCTGTTCTTTGAGATTCCTTCCAATAAGCAACTTCTGATAAACCCGAATCAGGAACTTGATAAAGACTCTGTAAGTATTCATTATATCGCCACAGATAATTCCAAACAGAAGCTGCAGTCTATGAAACATTTTTCAAGTAAGAATTCGGTCATCATTGGGTTACAAAAGGTGGTCTTTCTTACATCCGAAAATGCAAAATTGGGAATTTGAGCATTGCGTAATATCTCTTGCGCTTCCATCAATTCTTTTCCTCCCATAAAACTTGTCAATAGTGGTTTGTGTTTTTCTCTCCATTGATTACTCATATCCGCCAACACTTGTGCAGTTTCCGTGCCTTGAGTCATCGTCTGTGGTGTTAGAATCACTAACGCTCCATCGGTTTCAGCATTCTCAAAACAGGCCTCCAATACTTCCTTGTAGTCATTTGCTGAGGCATTCCCTGATAGATCAATCTGAAGCCTTTAAGAAATGGAGAATATGAATAAAAACGAAACTTACTGGATTGACTGTTGGCAAGTGGCTCGGCAATACTTTCTGAATCTTGGAAGAAACTTTGGCCGATAATGAGGATAGTTGTCCTCCTCCAGCGATAAGTTGGTCTGCTGCCAAATAACCTGGTCCACCAGCATTACTAATAATGGTCAATTTGGAACCCAGTGGACGAGGTTGATGTGCCAAAACTCGAGCTGTTAAAAATAGATCATTGACACTTTCCACTCGAAGCACTCCAGACCTTCGAAATACTTCATCTAAGACAGCATTTTCATCAAATGTCAATAAATCAAGAGGGCCTTTTAGTTCCTTGGGAATCGTTCCCTTTCCTGATATCGGACGAGTGCTTACTGTTTTGGAAGAAATGTGCAATTTGTAAGGCTTTATCAGCATGATGGGTTTGCTTACTGCTACTTCTCGAGCAGCAGATAGAAAACGTCGTACATTTCCAATGCCTTCTGCATAAATCAAAATAGAGTGTGTATGACGATCATTGCCAAAGTAGTGAATCAGGTCAGCCCAATCCACATCCAACATAGTTCCAACATCTGCCACTCCTGAAAAACCGAAACGTTCTTTTACCGACCAATCTAACAATGAACAAATCAAAGAACCACTTTGGGATAACAACGCAACTTGGCCAGGAAGATAGTCTCGAGATAAAGACGACGATACATTCAGTCCCAAACGACAGTTCAATATACCTAAGCTATCAGAACCTATGAGTCTTATTTGATGTTGTGACGCAACCGATGCAATTTCTCGAAAGACATTCTGCGTTTCTTTTGTACCCAACTTGTCCCAAGTTATAAGTGATGAGAGTAAACAAGCTTTGGTTCCTTTCTTTGCCAAACTATGCAAAACACCCTGAACCTCTGATACATGCGTTGCTATTACGACAAGATCGATGGGTCCTCTGAGATCTTCAACACTCTTTAAGCCATTGGTGAACATCTTTCCATATCTTTCTGTAGTACCAACACTAGCAGCTTCCAAGTTAAATAACTTTGTACCATCTTGCAAATTCTTCCACAACATGTGCAACTTTCTGTCAATTGGAACATCTCCAACTACTAGAGTGACTTGCTTTGGCCGAAAGAAAGCATCCAGTTCCTGCTTACCCACAAGCAAAGAATGGTAGGAATCAGCAGAAAAATCTGTGGACGAATGAACAAAGCATTGAAGTATATAGGTCCCAAACTTCTGTAGATATTTTGAATTAACTTCCAACGACAAAGAAGTAGAGTCAAAGATACGTTTTCTATACAGTTGGCCACTGCAACATTTCTTCAGCAGAATCATTTCTCAACGATGGCGCCAAATTTTTCATTTTTTCTTCTCATGAATCAACGTGGTCTTCGATATCATTTATTAGGACAACGAGGTTTGACGATATGGTTTACAGGTTTATCTGCTTCAGGTAAATCCACCATATGCTATTCTTTGGAAAACAAATTGTTAGAAGAAGGAAGACTTTGTTATTGTATCGATGGTGGTGAGATTATTTCGTTGGCTACAATACATTTGCACTCTGAACTACATAAATAGATATCATGAGAAAGGGTATCAATAGCGACTTGAGTTATACGAACAACGCATGAGTGGAAACTAGATAGGTTTCTTCTTCTCTCTAACCATGCAGATATAGGACCGTACGGAAAATATTCGACGCCTCGGAGAAATTGCCACCATCTTGACAGACATGGGAGCTATCACTCTAGTAGCAGCAATAACTCCCTTTCAAAAGGATAGAATCAACATAAGGAGAATGCATGAAAGAAAAAGACTCCCTTTTTGGGAAGTATTGGTAGATTGTAGGTGATAGCCAACCATTACATTTCTGTTGATCCCACTTGGTTCATCTAAGGTCCATTGAATGTCTGTGAAGAAAGAGATCCAAAAGGTCTTTATGCCAAGGCTAGAAACGGTGAGATTCAGCAGTTCACGGGTATCGATTCTCCTTATGAGATTCCAGAACATCCCGATATTATATTACATACTGCAAATTCAACTATAGAGGACTGTATTCATGTATTATGGACTAGAATCCAATGCTTTTTACATCAAAACAGAGAAGAAAGCTACAAGTTGACCGAACAACCGCAAACTTTCTTACAAGAGTAAACAACTGTTGTAACAATAAATAAGAGATGCAATTGTTTATTTACCGATGACTTGGATGTGATGCATTTATCCATTCACTCACAAGCTGACCAAATGGATCGTCTTGATTGTCCTCCTGAGAAGTGATGCCTCGTACTTGCCGTGAATCTAAAGTGGTAATTTGAGAATCCGAAGCTTTTTTCTTTGTTCCCTTGCCACTGGAAATCGAGTCATTAGGAGGACTTTTGGCAACTAACTTGGAATTTCGATTCATTTCATTGGATACATCATCTTCGATCTTCGTTGTAATAACATTGTCCTCTGACATTGTTTTCTGCAAATTTTCTCTTGTACTGGTATTGGCTTTTACTTTTGAAACGAACTGATCATTAGAATTCTCACAAGTACTTCGTTGCCAATCAGGTGCCCCTTCTGGGAGCTTTAAATCTGTCAGGAAATCGTCAGCGCTTTTCCTTGATGATTCTTCCAATTTCATGTCGGATAAACTCTCAACAAATTCCCCGAAATCCTTGTCACTTTCTACATCATGAATGGACTCCTCACTGACAGAGGCTTCATCATCTTGGGATAAATCGTCCAAAAGTAATAAGTCGTTTTCCAAGTGTTCTTGAGTAGGATGCTGCTTGTTGGTCGATAGATGAGAGTCGTGACACGTAGCTTGAACTGTCATTCGCTTGTTCTCGGAGCCAATAGAACCTCTGTAGTTACTACTGGCGCTGCCAATATCGTCGTTGGAATGAATACTGTAGTCTTTATCTACAACGATACGCCGTTGAGATATACGTTCTCCAGGAGTGTCTTCCACTTTGGCTTTACTTTTATCTAAATAGGCAGTAGTGCTTGAATAAGCAACTCTTTTGGATTGAGATATTTTGTCTAGCATAGCTCTACTCTGTTCTCGCTCCTTTTCCAATAGCCTGCGATCCCTTATCAAGTCAACAAGTTGCTTGGCCTTAAGTCGCACGTTATGACCCACATCCTTACCAGTCTTAGGATGCACATAACGAAAATTTTCGAGCGCTTCAAAGGTATGAACGCTGTGTTGCATATCCAAGAGTACTCCTGGTGCTCCGTGCAATATTAAATAACGAATTAGCTCCAATGCCTTGTAAACTCTTCTCCAGTTGTGTCCCTTATCTTTTAAACGACTGTACACTATGTCCATCATAATTTTGTACAACAACGGGTTATAACTGTACTGTGCTATTTCTGCCAGTTCAACCGACCCAACACTCCAGTTTCTATTGGAAGTCGCTTTACGTACACGGTTTTCAAAGTCTGTCATATAAAAGTCTTTCACCTTGGAGACAGCCTTGCCTTTGGCTATGGAAGCTGTACGTTTCACGTTCTTCCACTTGATATTCTTTATACGGTGTTTCAATTGTCGTACAGTATCCATAAAAGATAGACGGACACAAACTCCTCAATCCACTGTTTTACAGGTCTTCTTCTGATAGTGGAATATTGAACACCTTATGTCAATCCCCAATAACAGAAAAATTGCGCCAAATGCATTTTTCAATGAATTCCAAATTCTTCATTTATTACATATGAACAACAGAAAACCTAATCTTTCTCTTCTTCCTTTGAGCCTTCTTCATCCGCACAGTCCTCTTCTGAATCTTTTTCCTTGTTCTTTTCTTCAGGACTAGCTCCTTCTTTTTTCCTCAACAGGATTTTCTCCAGTTGTACTATCATTTTCAATTTGCTTTGTAAACGACTTGCCGTAAGATAATCTTCCTTTCTTATAGCATCCAATATTTCCAATTCCCACTGCAACGATGGTAGCTGAGATAGCAACTGTTGCGCTTCCATAAATTGACCCTCTAAAAGCATCTCACGGAGAGAATATCGAACATCGTCAGTAAAAGGTATAAAACGCATTGGTTTCTGATCAGTGGATCTCCTGAATGGAATGATCTGATGTATTTCTGGAGAATGAAATGGTATCGAGTGTCTTTGTGCTCGAAAAGGTAAACTGTTGTGAGGGAATGTGTTCGATGGAGTGGAATTCCATTTCCTTTCTTCCAAATGACTCTTCATTATGGTTTCATCCAATGAGGAACTACGCGTTGTGTTTTCTTTATCATTGTTGTTGTTGTTGTTGTTGTTGATAGGTGCAACTACAATTCGGCTATCATAGCAAGGAATATAACCTTTGCTAGTAGAACCTCGTATCCATAAAGAGGCATGAACATAAATGGGAATTTGAAGTGATGCCAAGAAAGATAATCCTAACGCATCCCAGGGAGGTAGATTGACAAAGAATTGTTTTCCATCTTTCGAAAGACATAAACGAGCTCGAATCCACTGGTCTGGACGTGATACTGGAAGACAACAACTTGCATAAATATTGCTGTTCTTTGAACTTCCTCCGTTGACGTGGTTCAACGAGTTGGAATACGATGATACCTGAGAACCACTACTCGTATTCTCTTGTTTCCGAATATCTGATATCATATCATTTGAATTCACACCGTGCAATACTACTTGCTCTACTTCAAACCCGACATCCTTGACCATCCATTCATAAAAACAAGCTTGAAAAGTAGGATACTTTGTATGATTCACAATTCTCATAAACAGCGCCAGAATGAGTTTCAAACTATTTCTAGGCTGACCAATCTTTGCCATATTTTCAACAAGCCCTATCATATGTAGCGCCTTTCTTAAAAAGTACAATAGTCTTGCAAAGTTCAGTAAAGCATTGGAACCATAGCCATACCAATGGTGACCAATAACACTGTGTCCTGACTGTCGATGAATGGTTTGTATCAACTCCGTACTTTCACCAACAGACATGAACACTGGAACTACTCTAGATGAATGGGAAGTTCTCGGAAAAGAAGACCCTGTAGCTGAAGCTTTACTGAAAGCAGAATGGCTCTTTTCAACAAGATGTTCGACAAAAGGTTCCTGACTGGCTTCATAATCCTTTGCCAATTGGTCATATCTTTGTCCTACAGTGTCTGTTGCTGTTCTTGACAATACCAATAAACAGTGGGTACCACCGGAAACCACTTGTAGCTGCTTCAACTCAACAGAGATGTGCTCTCCATAGTCAAAAAAATAGTTGGAATCACAACAGGTAATAAAAGGTTTCATCTGCCAAAGCCCACTCTGCCAGAAGGAATGTACACCTCCCTTTTTCTGAAAAAAGGATAGTGCAAAAGTGGGGCATCCAAGTTGGTGCCATAACAGACGAGAGCCTTGAAAAGTAGGCTTATACACTTTATCTTGTAATAAATAGTGGTTCGCTGTTACTCTTCTTCTTTTCCATTCAGAACATGAACGATATCGGCCTTGCGTAGTCGACACCACAAAAGCCATTCTCTCCATCTCCAATGGATGAAATTTATTTATATATATATATATATCTATATATGTATGTATTCGAGATGAAGCAACTCAAAGTTTTATTCATTAGGCACCTAAACCCAACATTTGTCTTACTCTTTTCACTGTCGAGTCTTGTGATAAGTCATAAGGTTGGTCTTTGCTAGGTATCTCTAACACTGCAGGAATCGGAGCACGGTAACTGTACACTAGATCACGAATTTTCTCAGCAACCTTGATTCACCAAATATATACATACACATATTTAGATAAGTTATGTAGAGAACAACATGGACACTTACATGTTGATTGATAATCACCACAGCAATATCTTCACTACTCGTAAATCGTTTAAAGGTCTCTTCTATCGCAGAAACTGGCGTATCCTCTGTCCAAAGTACTTCCCATTCACTTTCTTCAATATACATAAAATAACCACTTACTCTTCACAACAAAATAATTGGATTCTTTATGCTGGTTCACTTCTCCAATACCTGCCAACAGAAAACCACAAACCGTGTCCTACGAGGAAAAACTTGAGAAAACGTACGAGAAAAATTGACCTTGACAAACCTCGTCTCCTATAACGGATAAAAGTTTGGTGCGCTTTGTTTTCGTCTGACTTTGCATCCCTTATTATGATGAATAAGAAGAGAAGGATTAGCAATGTCCCGAAAAAAAAATGCCATGTAGTTGAGCGCGCAACGATTTCTTTATTCAAACGCGTCACACACCTTAATATGAGTTCAAAACTTCAGCTGAAAACACAGCAATTGACTCAGCTCTGTCAAGAACATTTGTCTAGTCCTCAAATTGTCTCCAGTCAACTACTTAAAGCCATCCAGCAACTTACCAAAAGAGGTTTGGTGTATTCTGCTCGATGGTGTGCTGAGCTAGCCTTCTCTCTTGAAAGCAAATCACAAGAACGGACAAAAGTTTCGATCAATTTATATAATGAAAATGAATTAGAGCAAAAAGAGTGTACCGCTTTTCTTTTAGGAAGGAGATATTTTGACTGTCGCGAATATCGAAGATGTGCGGAGTGCTTGAAGAACCTGGAAAATGAGACTAGTGTTTTTTTAAGATGTTATTCGCTTTTCTTAGCAAGTGAGAAGGAACGTTTAGATAGTTCCATCCAGGTATGAAAATACAAGCGCACACTAAGCCCTTTATCATCTTTTCACTGGTAAATTGTATGGTATATAGAGTATCAAAGCGTTGCAAACTCGCCAACTTGAACCAATTTTGTCAGAAATTTGCCATTTTGAAAAATCTCAAAATGGAATGCTGGTAAGTCTTGTAGTAAGGTTGATGTTCCATATGTGTTGAATCATGATATAGAGTGGTTTCTTATGTTATCTTTGCGGCATCATATCCAGGAACTTGGACCGTAGAAAGCAAGCGATTTCATTTTTCATTCGTGCAGTTGTTCAGTTTCCATTTCTATTCGATGCGTGGAAAGAATTATCACATTTGGTTTCCGTTGAAGAAGAAGAAGAATCTTTGAATGCATCGTTGCCACAACATTGGATGACTGCGGTATATTACGCCATGTTATTTATGGAACGAAGAGAATATGAAGATGCTTTACAACTTCTAAATGTATTGCTATCATACTTTCCAAAGAATACCTTCTTACTGAGTCAAATTGCTTATCTTTATTATGATCGACGAGATTTTGATGAATCTGCTCTCTATTATGAAGAAATGAGAAGGAATGATCCGCAATGTATTGATGGTATGGATATTTATTCCAATATTTTGTACGTAAGAGAACAACAAGCAGAGTTGAGCATGCTGGCGCATCATTGTATTTTGGTAGAAAAATATCGACCAGAAACTTGCACTGTTGTTGGCAATTATTATTCACTTCGTGGAGATCATGAGAAAGCGGTTATCTACTTTGAGCGAGCCTTGAAACTGAATCCTCATTATGTATCTGCGTTAACTTTGATTGGACATGAATATGTAGAGATGAAGAATACTTCGAAAGCTATTGAAGCTTATCGCAAAGCGGTAGATATTCAACCAAAAGATTTTCGAGCGTGGTATGGTTTGGGTCAAGCTTATGAACTTTTACGAATGCCAAGTTATTCTCTTTATTATTATCGAAAGGCAGCATCATTACGTCCATTTGATTCCCGTATGTGGTGTGCTATGGGGCTTTGTTTAGAAGAATTTGGTAAACTTCAAGATGCCTTGACTTGTTATGAAAGGGCTTTAAAATGCGAGGATCGAGAAGTGGTTGTATTTCGTAGAATTGCACATCTTTATGATCAAATGGGAGACTCGGAGAAGGCGCATTCGTTTTATTTGAAAGAGCTGGAACTTCGAGAAGAAGATGGATTGGATGGTTCAGAAACTGCAGAGGCTTTGTTGTTTCTTACTCGATATTGCATTGTCAAAGGAAGATTAGAGGATGCAGAAAATTATTGTTCTAGATTAGTCGACTTTCCAGGAACTGAAAGAGATCAAGCTAGAGATCTTTTAAAGGAAATTGAGTGGAGAAGAGAACAACTGTCATCTACCCAATCAGTCATCATGGACGATACCGCCATGTCATAAGGTTTGCACCAAATAAATATTTCAATTTAAAGTCTATTTATTTGACTTGAACTCATGATACGAAAAGACTTTAATCACAAAACATTCAATAAAGCATCCATCTCATACCACATAAAGTGATGTATTATGCATTTTGTTGAATGGTAGCCAATGCTGGCTCATCTTCCTTGGCAGAAGCTTTCTCCTGCACTATTACTAGTGGAGATGTGTTGGGAAGTTCATCGGATTCTTTGGTGTCTTCTTTCTTTTGCTTTCCAAGTTTCGTATTCACCCATGCTTTTGTTTGGCTCCAATTGTACTTTGCCAAACCAACAAGTCCTTCATCAAATATGTTTCGTATATCTTCTAGTGTTCTAGCATTGGTCTCCGGCATCAATATAATAAGTATAAACCAGAATATCAGAGTAAACCCTGCATATAAACCAAATACTCCAGTTTTCGTAAATGCTCGTACTTGTCTGGTAAACGTATAACTCACAGAAAATGCAGAACCCAATAGGATTGCAGCACCCCATGACATTCCCCAATTTCGCACGTGCAATTCGTAGATTTCACCGTTGATGGCCCATGCCAAAGGAGATACGCCTATTTGATAACCAACATAGTAAAGAGCCAATCCCACAAAGAATCCTCCAGAACGTGAAGCAACGGTTGATGCCTGTAACGAACATCCAGAAATAATAAGCCCTATTATCAGAATAGGCATAGTAATTAAAAGAACTGGCCTTCTTCCAAAACGATCAAATAAGAAGAAAGAAGGAAGCGTACAACAAGAGTTGTAAAAGTAAATAGGAATATTAGCATATACTGAATTCTTTACTGATACTCCCATTTGAGAAATAAGTGTTGGTAAATAATAAGCAATAGCAGTTGCCCCATTCCACTGCTGTGCCAAAGATATCAAAGCACCAATCACAAATGTTGCACGGATTCTAGGAATCGTCAGAATTTCATGAATGACTTTCATGGATCCTTTTGCTTCTTTCATCTCATTCTCAACATTTTCTTTAAGTTCCAAGAATTCCTTCCTGGTCTTTGGCATGTCTTTACGGATACGTTTCCATGAACGTTCTGCATCTGCAACTCGTCCTTTTTGAATATACCATCTCGGACTTTCTGGAATGAACAAAGCGAAAACCAATTGAAGTGCAGGTCCAATAACACCTGAGCCTAACATATATCTCCAACCTCCAGAAACATTCTGAAAGATACCATCGATGATGGCAGCAATGAAACCACCAAATGTTTGTAAGGAGTTGAAAATATTTAGATGGCCACCACGATGTTGTTTAGGTACCAACTCTGCCAGATAGATAGGAATAACCATGGCTTCCAAGCCCATACCTAAGCCTAGAATAATACGTCCAACCAACAAGACCACCATGGAATCTGCAGCGGCCGACATGGTAGCTCCAGCAAGATATAGAACAGCAGCCAAGAGGACGACATATTTTCTTCCAATATGATAACAAAGAGGTATCGAGGTACCTAAACCAAAGCAAGCTGCTAACAGTGGAACAGAGGTTATCCAGGACCATTGTAAAGGGGAGATACTAAGATCAGGTTGAACATATAGAGCTGCACCTCCAATAACTGAAGTATCAACTCCAAAAAAGGTGGAGCCCCAACCTGCTATAACGGCAAACACTTTAAGAAACTTGGTGGAGCCATCATCTTTCTTCGCTGCTTCGTCTTCCTCTTCTTCTTCCCATACCTCTGGAGCATTTGTCTCTCGTTCTTGGTTAGTTTCCAGCGACTCTATTTCCATTGTAATAAAACTACTATTGGATTCTATTTTCAGCTGGTCAGAACACACAAATCCAAAGTGCAAAGTAATGAAATTTTTGTAGAGAGCACAATGTTTTAAAGATCGGCCGGAGAATACAATTTCTTCAGGTCTGCTGGTTGAACCAATCAAATTCCAACCCGTTAGGAGAATCCCATTGCTTGCCCATCTCGGCTGAATCCACCCCAAATATTCCAATGGACAAGAACAGCAGATGTTCTAGTCGTCTTCAACGATTCGGTCGTGACTATCTCTTTTCTTTTTTGTGTAATGGATGACTTTACAACTGCTCTTTCGTTGTCCAAAATGACTCATAATCATACCCTTATGAAAGTTTCTCACTTGGCTAGAAGTTTTATCCATCCATTTTGGTCATCAATACTAAGGTCTTTTTGGAAAGAATAGTTCCAGTGTTGAAGCAACTTTTGAAAGAGTTTTGGTTATTACCACCGACACTCGTATTGTAAACAATAGAATTTTTTTACTGTAATATATTCTTGAATAGCTCTCCAGTTACTAAATAAATAACTATATATAAATATATGTATCTTCCAACAGTTAGACACTTGTAGTAATGAATGGTTCTTTTATCCAAGTGGCATAAAATATAAAAGTGACTGGAGTTGTTTGTATTCAACCCAAATAAATAGGAGATAATGACGACGGTCAAGTTGGAGTGGCAACTTGGTTGGGAAGAGTGGAAAAGCCCTTTATTAGAACCTTTTTTGGGTGACTCGGAGAAAGACTCTTTTCCCACCGTTGTAAAGTTGAGAAAAAGAAGATGCAACAACAACAGAAAGCGAAAGAGACAGTTGACAGAAAGAGTTGAGAGCCCTTCTCTCAATCAGGATTCAGTGTTGGTAAAAGAAAAACTAGCCAAGTTATTTGAAGATGAGGAGGCAAAAGAAAGTGTTGCGTCGTTTCAAGAGCATATTGTGGATAACGAACCAAAGGATTGTATGACGACGGAACCGATGGTTGTCCAGCCCTCCCATTCAGAAGAAAGACAAGCGAATAAGTCTCTTTCAAACGATACGACAGAGAATAGAGTTGATGAAGAAACTTTGGGGTCGAACAGTCTTACAGCTTCGAATCAAGTGGCAACTTTACCTTCCCTTTCGACGGGTAGCCATCGTCACACTTTATGGCAAAGGTTATATAGCACTTTGGAGAAGCGTTGTAAACAGTTTGCTATAGAAGGGTTTTCACCAGCTGGTTTTGTTGTCGATGCATTGCCCGACTTGAAGGTTTGTCTCGAGTTACAGTTTATCATAATTGTGATAACTTCTATATTAGGTTTCTTTATCTATAGAGTTGTATGACCAAGGCTATACCAAAGATAGTCGCAAACTACTTTTTCCATATGATCATCATTCAAAGAGACTGATACAAGCTTTAGATTTGGGTTTGATACCTCCTTACGAAGACTTACCTACCAATCATTCCTTTCACTATTATCAAGGATGTTTGATAGCAGAAATTCGTGACTTTCGTTCCAATTTTCAAGGATTTCTTCAGACATCGATGAAATCATCCAATAAGAGTTCTCCTGTAACATACAAGTTGATATTGCGACCCGATTTTTATAATATATTATCGGATATTGATCGAGCGACGGTTCGTTCCAAGTATGATGGAAGAATAGAGATAGAAACGAAAATGCAACTAGAGCGTTTCCTCTTATCAATATTATTTCGAAACATTCATTGTGATAGCCATGTTCCTCGTTTTTCTTTTATCCATCCATTGGACTCTTTACAATGGAATAGAATACGCAGACCGAGAATGAATACCAAAGATGACAAAGGAGTATTGCATAGTTGGAGAGAATTGGGTCGTGGTGCTGGTTACTTATCACCCCAAAGTATTGTTTTATATGTTTGTATGATAATGGAATCATTTCATGGAAGAGATGAAAAGCCATTGGAAGGAATATCCAAGACTTTAGGCAAGTCATCTACAGTAGTGGATGGAAGAAAAGTGAATAGTAATATTCATCATGGCTCGCTCATTGGGAATCATTCGGTGTTGCCTTCTTCTCTTCATGAACTTTCATGGAAGCCCATTCATTTATGTTCCAATAGCAACTTGGAGGAGCATCGATTTGCGCTTTATACTTACAAACGCAACATATATTTATCCAAAGACATTTCATTGAATGATAATGTTCGATTATCGGGTGCGAGTCCTACTCGTTTGCGTCCTGACATCTTAAGAATATTGGCATTTTCTTATGCGCGTAAGAGTACTTCATCCGTACCGACAAAGCAAGTGCACTGTTCTCTTCAAATTGTTAAAAAAGGTAACCCAATGTATTATTGTGAATCGAGAAGAAGCTATATACGAGATGGTTCTGTAGATGTGAATAGCTTTACTACTAACAGTTTAGAACATGCAATGGACTTTGCAGATAATTTTAGAAGAATATGTGAATTTGAAGGATATGTTTGTATATTGGATTCCTTTCGAGGACCCTTTGAGAAACTTAGAGATACCAGTTCCGAATCTATTCCTGAAAGAACGTTTCAGAAAAGGCCATCCAATATTCCCAACAATCCTTCAGTCCATCCTTCTTCCTCTCCATCTACTAATCCAAGGTTGGATGCTCTCACAAGTCTCCCATTCGCAACGAGTCCTTCGATATCTTTGGCTCAAGCACAACCAGGAATACGACCCATTCCTTATCATTCATTAGGTGGGAATCCAGCAACTGTTTATGGAAAAAATTTCCCTGTAGGAAATCATTCAACTGTACCTCAAAATAATGCTTCGTTTTATCAAGGCGTACAAAGTGAATATAGGAAAAGGCCGAGTACAGGAACATTATATTCCAACAATCCAATACATCCTTCCTCTTCTTCCACTACGACTACTTCCGCTCCTCTTCCCACTACAGCACCAGTTGTAAGAGGACCCAAACCACTTGTGGCGCAAACATCAGCGAATAGAACAACTTTTCAAAATGCTTTGAGTGTAACTGGCAACGATAATATGACTCATGCGACGTTTTTAGGGAATAAGAGAACAAGTTCTCCCGTACATTCTTCTACATCTAGTTTTCATGGTGCTAATATGCCATGATAACGCATTTGCAATACAAAATTACTCTTCTTATTTGCTTCCGAACCCTACCTTTCTATATTCTTTGGTTTGGGTCTTTGTACAAATCATTTGATCTTCGTTGAAAGGTTCCATAGGATGACCTGCACTGCTCATAGCATAAATAACTCCATCGCAACTGCGGCTAGTGGAAAGATAATAAGCTTGTGGATCACCCAAACTAACAACTTGAGCTCTTATAATATCTCCTGGACGAAAACAGTTGTGCAAATCTATCTTATCACTTGAGGTTGTTGCCACATCAGGTAATCGAACCACTCCACGAAAAGTATAACAAAGTAGCTTCTCTTGTATGGCAAATATTTCCACTACCACTGCACGCCAAGTTACTTTCAATACTTTGCCAATCACCTCATCACCCACGGTTGGTACACAAGTACTACGTTGACTACGCGTTCTCGGTTGGATATCGATCCTCAAAGAGTTGGCTTCACCTGTTTCTTGAAAACTCACACGTCCCCATAAACTAGCATAAACTCTTTGATGAAGACAATAACAACCTGTGCCTATTGAAAAGTTTCCTTGCTCAGATAGTTCCATACCAGGAACAGCAAACATAGCTGTAGCACGATTGGTTGAATGTTGCATGAATGGATTCACTTGTCGAGGAATTGAATGATGAAGATATGCATTGTGCAAGTGCTAAGTTTTGGTTGAGACCTTGGGAAACTGTAGTGGAGACCAGTTCTTTGGAAGATTGCAAAGAGAATCCTTCCATTCGAGTGAAAAGATGCCATCCTAAAGCAACAAGGACAAAGCACCAAAGACCAAAGAAGAAAGCGCGACACTGAAAGATACTTTCCAAGAATAGTTTCATATTTAGCGTTTATATTATGCATTTGTTGAACTTGCCGTTTACGCTGAAAGTTGATAGTTATTAGTCGTAAAATAAGGAAGATTCTCTTTGTCACAAGGCAGCCAGTCTTCTTCACGTTTCAAATCGAGTAACGGTGGATGGTGGTCAGTGGAGGCACTCAGCCCTGGACTTGACGACTTTGAATAGTTGGTTTGCATAGCCTCTAAATTAGTCACAACTTCGGCGTCACCGTGCAAATAGAACAATTCCGTAAACTTAAATTTCATCATGGTCTGATCTTCAGTTGTTTCAAGAAATATTTCAGACGAAGACGGTGTACGAACAAGAATAAAGGGAAGTTCAATTTTCGATTCTTGAAAGCAGTATTGTCTTGAAAATTTCCTGTTTCTGTCAATCAGTCTTTGAAAGGCACATTCCTGCCGTCGCAATAATTCAAGGTTTTCTCGTTTTTCTTCTATCGTCTTCCTCTTTTGTTCCAATTGTGATAAGAGTTGTTCATTCATGGAATTCTTATGATAACTAGCTATCCCTGAACAAGTCTCCTCCCTTTGAGTATTAACGTTCGGTGAAGAGGAAATACTATGGCATTGATCATATGAAAAGTTGGTCTTTCCAACCCATTTAAGATATCTTCCTCCATCTGTCTTTTCAATAATACCAATAGCAATTAAGACATTGAGGCAATCATAAACTCTCCTTCGAATATTCTTTTCCAAAATGGCCATATTCGGATCATTCTTTAATTCAGAGCTTGCGGGAAGAGGAATGCCTAATACAAGAGCGAGATCTTGGGCAAGCTGAGCATAAGTGGTGCTTCCATGTCCTTGTATTGCATCACAGATGGTCAAAGTCATCAACTTCAATCCACGCTTTGGTACGGTAGATAAAGAAAAGGTGCTTTGAGATGGTGGTCGTCTTTTTGGTTTTCGAGTAACATTTGTCTTTTCCAATTCTTCATGAGCAGAAGGTGGATCTCTTTTCCTTCTCTTTCTGCTATTGGAAGAAGAAACAGTTTCATCTATCGATTGAACTGGATTCGTAGTGTTTGATTGCATATTATTATAGTAATATCGTCCATTTACTTGCTTTGAACTCTGAATGGTTGACATACCTTGATATATACAAGATTAGTATGTATACTGAAAGAAATAGAACAAGTTGAACATACCGTTTGAAGAAGACGCTCGTTCTTCAAGAGAAGAGGGAAAAGTTCCAACTAGAGTCAAGTCATCTGAGTGCTTTCCAATATAGTTTTGTAAGGATATTTCCTTTTTTCTCGGGTTGAATCGTTGACTTGCATTTTGTAGCATTTACTCCTTTCACGAGTGGTCTGTATCAAAGGAAATACCAAATGTTATCTGAAATAAAGTTGTTCGAAACTTGGGAGGCTGAGAGCACAATCCCTGCAGAATAAGTAAGGTTTGCCACGAATTTTGAAAAAGTACAAATTCAAATTTCATTGGGCGCCTTGGCAAATGGTTGTCCCTCCCCTTTCACTAGCGCCTTTTTACTTCATAACGGTCATATACAAAGCTTATTTCACTTCAAAAGCAAATCTTATTGCCATTCATTTCAAGAGATCAATGCGATTTCTTGTAAACATCTCAATCCATCTTTTCAATCTCAAGAGAGTCATAGTTGTTACAATGTTTCTAAAAATAGCAGATTACCAAATGGCTTTTTAGATTGCATCAGTTGATAAAAAAAGTCACGGTATATATAGTCCTTCTGGTTGTAAAGGCACCGATTGTCCACGTGGCGCAATTCTGCATTGGGCATTTTTTCCCGCAAGAGACCGATTTGAATGAAGTGTCCATCGAGGCTATTCATGGCGATCATTTTAGGATCGTCTTTGGATGAAGTGTCTATTTCTCCCCGATAACTTATCAGCCAGTTTCATTCTAGTCTATTTGCATTTTTCTATTTGAAAATTTTTGTCAAGTTGCACTTCTTTCTACTCCCTTTTGTGCAAATAGTGACTGTACGCAAAACCACCGTTGATATTCATGGGAAACGCTTCTTCTACTAGTGTTTGGGACCTTTCCTCTAATGGCTCACTAGGACCTTACTATATGAATAACAGTGTTCCCAGAAGTGATCGTTTGCTTTATATGAGGAACATGTTCTCCCGGTCGACTCGTTCCAGGAGGCAACGAAACTATTCAACCAGACGAGGAAACAGCACAGAAGAACCAAAATTGATTCCCACTCAGTTTTATTTAGAAGAAAGTACCTTTGTAAAGCTGATAAAGAATAAGATAGTTGCTCCCAGATACAAAGGAAGTGAAGTCAAGTCCGAGGAATACCGATTGGAGTGTCCCATCTGTTTCTATTATTATCCTGCTTTGAACTACACAGTTTGTTGTAAACAAGTAAGTATTTCAAACAACAAAAAATAGCTTGTTTGAAACTTTGCCATTGTAGTGCATTTGTAGTAGCTGTTTCTTTCGTATTCAGAGAAAGAGAACTGACAAGTCTGCACCATGTTCTTTTTGTAAAGCTTCTCTATTTGAAATTGTATATGATCCTACAGCTCAAAGCGACATTGAAAAGAATCAAGAATCAGGAAATTATTCGGCAGAGCGAGAGATGGTAGCAGAACTAGAAACCAAAAACACCGAGCTCTCTGCATGCTCAAAGGTCTCCAATAGTGGAATTATTGAAAAGAAAGAAAGTTTATCCAGAAACATTGTATTATCGGATAGCTTCGTTGTGGAAGAGGATGAAGATATTCCATTCAATCCCAGAGAAGTGGAAATTCCTATATTTCTACAAAATGAAGGATATACTGAAGAAGACCTTATGATAATGGAAGCTTGCTTTCGTTCGATGAGAGCAACTAGAGTCTAACTATAATATGTAATACCTTTTTCAGTCGGGTGCGTTACTACTTCTACGTATACATATATATATATACATATACATATTAAAAATAAATTGAATCTAATCATTCCCCTTTAGATTGGAATCATTGGGTATCCAAAGGATGGATTCGATCCGTTACCACATGTCAGAATCAGCTGTTTTGAATAGTATGAATCACATTTTCTGTATTCTCTTTCAAAGTTATCATGACCTTAACTGTTTTCTTTCTATTCTTCCTTTGGTGTGTTGTTGGTTGTATATTTTTACTATTCCTATCAATATTACCCGTATGCTTTCCATATGATATATGGCCTCATAGTTGGATAAAGTCCTCTCTTCAAATACTTGAATATATACTTTGCAATATTATGCATATGAACTTGAAGATAGCTGATGTTCTTGAAGATGAAAACTCGACAAAGTTGAATTACCTCACAAAGCCTTGGATACAATGCCACGAAAGCAAAGTGAAACGTAGTAGAAGAGGACAGAGAGAGTCTTCTTCATTTACTGTCAAAACTTATGACCAACCTGGAAGATGGATGTCGACCTCTTCAATAGAGTTACTAGTTCAGGAATTACGTCAAATAGCACAAGATTCTTTGGACGAAGTTCCTTTATATGGTGTCTTCTCAGGTAACGGAGATGCTCTTAAGAATCGTGTCATTTCCATAGCATATGATAAGAATGAGCCAATTGGATTCACTGCTATGTGTTATTTACCTCCTATCGATTCCTCTGTTGTAGACAAATACGAGAACTTTTTGCAAACTACTGAATCCAGTTGGAATCAATATCTATTACATCTTATCTTTCGAAATGTGTTGCATTTATATCATGGTCCAATTCTGCATCTAGGTCTTACGATGATCAAGCGACAACATCGAGGAAAAGGAATTCAATCTTCTCTATTTCTTAAGTGTCTTATTTTGCCAGTATTGAATCAACGAAAGTTATTTTTTCCCATCACCAACATTGCTGCTAGTCCTGCAGGAATCGGAGCAGTTTCAGATTACTTTTTTATGAGCTATCCTACTTATCATTCCAATAACAGATGTCTATTGTTTCATTTAGTTACTGCCCAACATGTACTGGCAACTTCTCGTCATGAGTTTGGTTGTTCAACTTTGGCAAAGTTTGAGGAGTCGACATTTGTGGTTAGATGTTCCAATGATCCTGTTGGAGGAGGTGCTTATGCATTTATTAAGGAAGATGGGAAACCTATTAGTCAATATAAGAATCCTATCTGTAACCAATACTGCGGGTCTTTATTGCAACTCGAAAAGGGTGACGAACTATTTCAAGTAGCGATATTCTGTCCTGTACTTTCTATTTTTCAATTCTTATTCACCAACACCATTTCTTATCATCCGTCTTCGAGAAAGCACATGAGTTTGATCATGGAGAAAAGGAAAGCATTCCTATTCAAGTCGAATATGCATTGGTATATCATCGGTTGTCTTTTCTTGGTTGTATATTTTGCATGGAGTCGTTCCATTCTAGTTGGTCATTTTCTACGTCATCGAGAAATGGAAAGTTTTTTTGCAGTTGTTTAAATGGAATGAATGATTGGTTGGATATTATATGGATATGATCAGAAGAACACGATAAGAATTTTTACCTTGTTTTCTTTGCATTGTCGTAGTTATTATAGAATGGAACTCCAAAGTAAAGTTCGAAAGTTTTCTAAAAGACAAAGGCTTTGCGGCAAAGCCTCCTCTCTTTGGTATCCTTTAAATAACCCACCAAAGGAACTTTCTTTAAGTAGAACGTTGCCTTGTGGACAAAGTTTTCTCTGGAAGCGATACGGGAAAGAAAAAGATAATCAAGAATATTGGTTAGGTGTTGTTGATGACACTATCGTTCAACTGTATCAACCGAATACTTTGGGACCGGTATACTTTCAACCCGTTCACTGTCTTTCTGAATCAATTTCCATAGAACATCTAAGGAAACGACTGGTTGAGTTTTTCAATCTGCACATTTCCTATTCCTCACTGTTGGAACAATTCTGCAAAGTGGATCCTCGGTTCGAGAAGGTTGTCGAATATACACAAGGAGCACGAGTGTTGTCTTTGGATCCTTTCGAATGTTTATGTGGCTATCTGTGTTCGTCAAATAATAATATACAACGCATTTCCAAGATGATGCAATTCATAGCACAACATGGTAACTACATAGGACAAGTTGAACAACACAAGGTAAGAGGCTTTTACTATTCCACTTGATTGAAACATCCAATTGGTTAAGTTTTATTGCTTTCCTACATTAAATCAAATGCGAAGCGTTACAGAACAAGACTTGCGTAGTCATCGCTTTGGATATCGTGCCAAGTATCTTGTACATACTATCGATCGACTAGTCCAGTTGGGTGGTATTGAATGGCTATCAGAGTTGAAACAATTAGACAGAGAACAAGTGGTTTCACAACTTATGCAGTTGCCAGGAATAGGACACAAGGTAGCTTCTTGTATTGCACTCGTTTCATTAGGAAAACATGATGAAATTCCGGTGGACACTCATATTTGGCAAGTCGTTTTGAAATATTATTTACCACAATTACACGGAAAAACTTTGACTCAACGTGTTCATCGAGAAATTGGTGAATGGTTTCGGCAGAAATTTGGTGGTAAGAAATCGCATTTTACGAGTATTCAAGTTTTGAAATGATTGGAAAGCTTATGCTGGATGGGCACACAATACGTTGTTTGTAGGAGAACTTGAAACAAGTAGAAGGAACAATCAAAAAGAAGCTAGTTGAGATAGTTATGAAACTGAATATGAAAACATTACTTATTGAATATCTTTTTGTGAATGGCGCCAAAAAGTTGGCATTTTTCATCGTCGGTAAATACCAATTGATTTCCAATTCACTTGGGGGAGAAGAAGACTGTCATCTTTTCCTTGGAAGTGTTGTGTTTCTGCTGTACAATTTAGTGTCTTTGTTGGAACAAGAGAATGAACGGATACAAGGAAAATGGATCGACAGAGATGCCTACTCCTGCCAAGCTTATTTTGGAAGACGGCAAGTAGCACATTCCGTGGGTCTGTGGAGTTTCTGAACTATCTGTGTGATGCTCTCTAGGCACCGTATTTCATGGATATTCGTTTGGTGCCAAAAGGAGTTCTTCTGGAGAAGCAGTCTTTCAGACTGGAATGGTCGGATATCCTGAAGCACTGACGGATCCTTCCTATCGTGGCCAGATTCTCTGCTTTACCTATCCACTTATCGGTAACTATGGAGTACCCTCAGAGAAAGAGGTTCGATATTCTTTTCTAATGGTGTGGTTATTATGTGCTTATAACATAATTAGGTGGATCACAACGGAATTCCTCTTTATTTCGAAAGTTATGAAATTCACACTGCTGGAGTTGTCGTTTCTTCCTTCACTGAGAAGCATTCACATTGGAAAGCAGAAAGCTCCTTTGATTCATGGCTGAAGAGGAACAACGTTAGTGGTATATATGATATAGATACACGACAATTGACGCAGATAATCAGAGAGAAAGTAATTTCCATCCTTTTCAATATGATATTGTTCTAATGGAGAGTACAGGGAACGATGCTAGCGAAAATTGTAGTAGATTCGGAACTTTCTTTCTATGATCTTAATCAAACAAACCTTGTTGCTCAAGTTTCCATTAAGGAGCCCATCATATATCGTCCTCCTTTAGGAAACACCCTTTGTCATATTCTTATGGTAGATTGTGGCATCAAATATAATCAGATTCGATGTTTCTTAAATCGCCAGGCCCAAATAACTTTGGTTCCTTGGGACTATGATTTTTCTTCTCCAGAAACACTTCAAAATATTGACGGTATCTTTCTATCCAATGGACCTGGTGACCCTAGTATGTGTGAAATCACAATCCATCACATCAAGAATATTTTGGAAGCAGCAGAAAAGAGAGATTCGTCGCGTGTGACTCCTATGTTTGGAATATGTTTGGGTCATCAACTATTGAGTCTAGCTGCTGGTTTTGAGACGTTTAAGATGAAATATGGAAATCGAGGTCACAATGTGCCATGTTTGGAATTAACGAGTGGACATTGTTATATAACTTCGCAGAATCATGGATATGCAGTTGATACGAGCAGTAAAAAGATTCCCCATTGGCAACCCCTTTACGTCAACTTGAATGATCAAACCAACGAAGGCATATGTAACGATCGTTTTCCATTTTTTTCCGTTCAGTTTCATCCGGAAGCAAGTGCAGGACCACATGATACGGAATTCTTGTTTGACTTATTTTTAGATATTGTGCAAACAAACAAATCTACACAGTCAGCCTCCAATTATGTTTCTGCATGGGATATCTTTTTGAACTACAAGAAACCAAAGATTCCAAAGTCAATAGAAGAAGATGGTCGTCATATAAGGAAAGTTTTGTTATTGGGTAGTGGTGGACTTTCTATTGGTCAAGCTGGAGAATTTGATTATTCTGGTACTCAAGCTTTGAAAGCTTTGAAAGAAGAAGGCATCAAGACCGTTTTAGTCAATCCTAATATTGCAACAGTTCAAACATCGAGAGGAATGGCAGACAAGGTTTATTTCCTTCCTATTAATCCCGAAAGTGTGGCCAAAGTGATTCGAAATGAAAGACCGGATGGTATTCTTGTGACGTTTGGAGGACAAACAGCACTCAATTGTGGTATCAAACTGCATCAGAGTGGTATATTTGAAGAGTATGGTGTAAGTGTTTTAGGCACTCCTATTGAAACCATTCTGGATACAGAAGATCGAGAGAGGTTCAACCTTCGTCTTTCAGAAATAGGAGAGCCATTTGCTCATTCCATTGCATGTTCTTCATTGGATGCTACATTGAAAGCTGCTAAAGAAATTGGGTATGCTTCATAATTAGTATTTGGAACTTGTTTTGATGATTGTTAGTTACCCTGTAATTTTGCGAGCAGCATTTGCATTAGGAGGTCTTGGTTCAGGTTTTGCAAATGATGCTGAAGAATTGACCAATTTGGCATCGAGGGCATTTTCAACATCAGACCAAGTATTGATAGAGAAATCTATGAAGGGTTGGAAAGAAATTGAGTATGAAGTAGTTCGTGATGCCTATGATCACTGTATCACGGTAGTTGAACATTTTTTTATTGCAAGTTCTTATAACTAATCAAATATGATTTGTTTTCTTTTATACACTCATTCATTAGGTTTGTAACATGGAGAATTTTGATCCATTAGGCATTCACACGGGAGAGTCTATTGTCGTTGCTCCCAGTCAGACTTTGGATGACTATGAATATCATATGTTGCGTGATTCAGCCATGAAAACTATTCGACATTTGGGTGTCGTAGGTGAATGCAACATTCAGTTTGCTTTAAACCCCAATAGTCGACAATATTGTATCATCGAAGTGAATGCTCGTCTCTCGCGATCCTCAGCATTGGCTAGTAAAGCCACTGGATATCCTTTGGCATTCGTCGCTGCCAAATTAGCATTAGGAATACCGCTTACTCAGATTCGCAATTCTATTACACAAAGTACTACGGCATGTTTTGAACCTAGTTTGGATTACATTGTTGTGAAAATGCCACGCTGGGATTTGAAGAAGTTTACAAGAGTTAGCAAGTTGTTAGGTTCTTCTATGAAGTCTGTTGGCGAAGTAATGGCAATTGGACGCAACTTTTGTGAAGCGATACAAAAAGCTATTCGTTGTGTAAAGGAAAATTATGTTTTTGGTTTGGACAGCTCAGTTGTTCCGTATACTACTGAGGAAATGTCGAATCCTACTGATGAGAGAATTTTTGCCATAGCTAATGGATTAGCAAATGGAATGACTGTCGACAAGATTCACCAACTAACGCATATAGATAGATGGTTTCTTAATCATTTGGAAAGCATTATTTTACTCGAAAAACATTTGCAAAAGGTTGCTTCCAACGGTCAGTCCTTACAAGAACTAGATTTGTGGTATGCCAAGTCTTTGGGTATGAGTGATAAACACATTGCAAAATGTATTGGAGAAACCGAATTGGTGATACGAAGTCTCCGTATGCAACTACAAGTGAAACCTTTGGTGAAAAGAATTGATACCGTTGCTGGTAAGATTTAGAATGATTTGCCTTTGATAGTATTTATATTTTTTGAATAGCGGAATTTCCTGCTGTGACCAATTATCTTTATACAACCTATGTAAATGGAAGAGGTTATAATCTTTCCAAGGAAATGCAAAAGAATGATGTAGCATTTGACAGAGAAGGCATCATGGTTCTTGGTTCGGGAGCTTATCGCATTGGTTCTTCTGTCGAGTTTGATTGGTGTGCAGTGAGTGCTGTTCGTACTCTTAGGAATCAACACATTTATTCTGTCATGGTGAATCACAACCCTGAAACGGTAAATTTATGTATTCTTTTTTTTGGTTCTAAAGTTGAAGCATTTTCTTTCAATGTAGGTATCTACGGATTATGATGAATGTGATCGTCTCTATTTTGAAGAATTGTCTTTAGAGCGAGTTTTGGATATTTATGAGTTGGAAAAAGCTACAGGCGTTATTGTTTCTATGGGAGGACAAATTCCAAATAATATTGCTATGCAGCTACATAGACAACATGCCAGAATATTAGGAACTACTCCAGAGATGATTGATGGTGCTGAAAACAGATACAAATTTTCAAGAATGTTAGATAGGCTTCAAGTAGACCAACCAGAATGGAAGGAACTTACTAGTCTTGAAGATGCCAAAGCATTTTGTCTGAAAGTTGGATATCCTTGTTTAGTTCGTCCCAGTTATGTATTATCCGGAGCTGCGATGAATGTAGCTCATAAACCCGAAGACTTGGAATCCTATCTTACTGAAGCTGCAAAAGTTTCTTTGGATAGTCCAGTGGTGATTTCCAAGTTCATATTGGAAGCGAAAGAGATTGAAGTTGATGCTGTTGCGAATAAAGGAGAATTGATTATGCATGTGATTACCGAACATGTAGAAAATGCAGGTGTCCATTCTGGTGATGCTACTCTTATTTTACCTCCTCAAGATTTGGATGAGGTAAGTTGTTTTGTTTTTAGAATTCGGGTCCATAACAGTGGAGTTGTAGATTACAGTTAGAAAGGTAGAAGAAGCCACTATGAAAGTTGCTAATGCACTCAATGTAACGGGTCCTATGAATATCCAATTCATTGCCAAAAACAACGAAATCAAAGTGATTGAATGTAATTTACGTGCATCTCGTTCTTTCCCTTTTGTAAGCAAAACTTTGGGTATTGATTTAGCAAAAATGGCAACAAAGGTAAGTAGATGATGGAATGTTGTGTTGATATTGGAATGATGGTTTGGATAGATTATGATTGGCAAATCAGTGAAACCTTATCCTGTCCATGTGAATAGTGTCCAATTGGTTGGAGTTAAAGTTCCTCAATTTTCATTTACTCGACTATTAGGAGCCGATCCTATTTTGGGAGTTGAAATGGCATCCACTGGAGAAGTTGCTTGTTATGGTGCTACTAGAGAAGAAGCTTATTTAAAGGGTTATTTAGCTACTGGCCAGCGTTTACCTAAAAGAAACATATGCCTTTCCATTGGACCTTACAAAGAAAAGTTGGAGTTTCTTTCTTGTGCAAACAAACTTGTGGAAATGGGATTTCACTTGTTTTCTACTCCAGGCACAGCTGAGTTTTTATCAGAACATGGCATTCCATCTACTGTAGTGATATGGCCAAAGAATGAAGAATATGCGAGAGATGTAGAAAGGAATATCTTGGAAGTTCTGAAAGAGAAAGCCATTGACTTGTTTATCAATCTCCCAAGTAACAATCAATATCGAAGACTGGCAAGCTTTCTATCACCAGGATATCTTTCAAGAAGAGCTGCGGTAGACTTTTCGGTTCCTTTGATTACCAACGTGAAATGTGCCAAGTTATTTGTCAATGCCTTGTACACTCTTGGTGGAAGAAATGTTTATCTTCCTCTTCAGCCTTACGATGCACGATTCAGTTCTCGAGTAATCACTTTATCTGGTTTTATCTCATTCAACACAGCTATTGACGAAAACCAGTCCATTTCTTCTATTATGGAACAAGGATTGGAAGGTGGTTTTACTACAATATGTCTACATGCAACTCGAGGTCTTTATGATAGTCAAGACTTGGATAGTTTGAAGAGTCAAATTGATAGCAACTTTTATGGTATTGCAACCAACTATACTATTTATGTGGATGCTCATCGAGATAATATTCATACCATTTCTTGTTTATTCAAATCATCTGCAGGTTTGTACTTGAAGATATCAGACTCTAGTTTTTGGTGGTGGAAACATTTGGAAAATTGGCCAAACAACTCTCCAATTCTAGTAGAAGCTACTGGTTTGGTACTTGCTAGTATACTTTTTGGTTCTGTAATACATGGCTCTAGACCATTGCATATCACACAAGTTTGTAAAAAGGAAGACATGGAAATAATAAGAGCTGCTAAGAACAAAGGAATGGCCATCACTTGTGATGTTTCTATAGTTCATCTTTATGGCAACAATATGGATGCTTCTGATCGTGAGGCCTTGTGGGAGAACTTGGATATCATTGATGTGGTTTGTGGACCTTTGAATCAGACCATCTCATTGTTATTGGCATCCGTACAAGAAGGAAGACTTGGTATCTCATGGGTGGAATCGAGATTGGTAGATAACCCTCGAAGGATTCTTGGATTATCTCCATCCATAGGTACATTTGTAGAAGTCAATTTGGATACCTGTTGGACAGAGCAGAATAGTTCATCTCCTTTTTATGGCCAAATGTGTCGTGGAGTAGTTCAACGAACGGTGATTCATAATGAAATTGTATATTTGGATGGCAAAATGTTGTGTAAAGGACAAAGAATCGGTAAAGATGTACGCATACAAGACAAGGCATCATCAGAGAATATCCATCCTTCAGTTGGATTGAGTACTTCATATCCGATGAAGGAGAGAAGAGGAGCTGCTAGTGTTCCTCCTTTGGACCGTGAAGACAATTTGACTCCTTTGATTGGCAAAGAGAAACACTTACCAACGGAAACAACGGATTCCATACCTTTGAATTCTCAAACACAATCATCCACTTATATTTATTCTCCAACTGCACAAAAGCCATCATTTACTATACAAGATGAAAAATGGGACTTGTCTTATTCATCATCGATGCCAAAGACCCAACCATCATGGAAGACTACTTTTCCTTCTTCATTGATGCCTACAAGAAATGTTGATGCAATAGAAACATTGAATGGTTATGGAAATGGTTGGTTAGCAGGCAATCATATTCTTTCCGTTGCCCAATTCACACGACAACAACTTCATGCCTTATTCAATGTAGCTTACGAAATGCGTCAAATGGTACAACGTGTAGGATACTATGACTTATTAAAAGGCAAAGTGATGGCTACTCTGTTTTACGAGCCAAGTACACGTACTTGTTCCTCCTTTGCTGCTGCAATGCAACGTTTAGGAGGTTCTGTATTACCTATTCAAGAGATGAGTCATAGTTCAGTAGCCAAAGGAGAGTCATTATCGGATACGGTTCGTACAGTGAGCTGTTATTCAGATATCATTGTGATTCGTCATTTTGAAAAAGGAGCAGCACAAACTGCCGCTTCAGTAGCTGGTAAACCTGTTATCAATGCTGGTGATGGTATTGGAGAGCATCCTACGCAAGCATTGTTGGATATCTTTACAATTCGAGAAGAATTAGGAACGGTCAATGGATTGACCATCACTTTTGTAGGAGACTTGAAAAATGGACGGACCGTACATTCTTTAGCTCTTCTTCTTTGTTTGTATCACGTCCGTATTCGTTATGTAAGCCCAGAGTCGTTACGCATGCCTGAGGATGTTTTAGAAAAGATTGCTTCCAAAGGTATTGATCAACGTGAATATCATGACTTGCAACAGATAATATCGGAAACCGATGTATTGTATGTCACGCGTATTCAAAAGGAACGATTTTCATCTCCACAAGAATATGAAAAGTGTCAACAAGGTTATATCATCACTCCTAAATTGTTAACCAGAGCTAAAGAACATATGATTGTGATGCATCCTTTGCCTCGAGTACAAGAGATTTCGACTCAAGTTGATCAAGACCCTCGAGCTGTATACTTTAGACAGATGGAATATGGAATGTATGTTCGTATGGCATTGTTAGCGATGATATTAGGAAAAGCATAAGAGAAAGACTAGGATTTGGATGTTTTTTGGGTTATGTGGAATTTTATTCGTTCGTTCATAGACAATTAATCATGACACACATTTTTCTCATCTCGGATTTTACAAGAATATTCCTCTGTCGACTTTTGCCTTTTGGATTTCTTCTTCTCATCCTTCTTCTTCTTGCCATTGTTATTCTTATTCTTACTCTTCTTTCCATTCTCTTCCTCTTCCTCTTCTTCTTCATCACCTTCTTCAGAATCATCATCGTCATCATCACGACGGAAACGACGCACCAGTCTCCTAATAGAGAATTTCTTTGATGTTCTCGCAGACCAGTTTCTAAAGCCCTTTGACAAAATAATGGAACGAACTCCAATCTTCACAAAATCACAAGGAAGGAACCATATCACATTCCATACCCAGGCAGTTGCTGCCCAACCCCAACCAACTCCTTCAATATCCGTAAATCCCCAATTGGCATACACGGATAAGAAAGTTGCAGTACTTTGAGCAAAGCAAAAGGCACTCATCAAAAGAATACCTGGACGATCCATAAAGAACATCCAATAAGCACGAGTACAGAAAATAAGAGCTTGACCAATCATAGACACTTGTAAATAGATTAGTGACTTCAACATGAAACTATTCTGTGGTCCGTATGGAAAGTACGGAGGAACTTGAGCCAACAAAACTGGATTTTTCCAGTCTGCGTATAAGTGGAACGTATCCGTCCAAAATGAAGTCTTATATAATGTAGCAAGGTATATAAGTGTTGCTGCGGTTAGCCACCAACCAAGAGCAGTAGCTAAGATAAACACTTCACCCAAATTCCAACGATCTGGATGAGGTGATGGTTTAACTCTATCTTTGGAAATTGTCATAATAGTACTAGACACAAACCAATAAGTAACTTCATATGTAGCAACCCTAAATAACCTTCCTTACCCATCATTCAAATATGCCAAAC